CAGGAATCGCACAAAGATTGGCGACCCTGACTATAGGGAGGAGCTTCTTCCAGAAGTTGAGACTGCCTCACCCCAGACCACTGGAGAAGGGAGTTAGACAGATTCATGGAGTAGAGGTCTATCAATGGCTGCTAGCTATTGTGAATAAAGGGAGCCTCCATCTCCAGAGACAGCAAACCTCTGGATACCAATGTTGGGAGGCAGCCCTCCAAGGCAACTGGTTGGCAGCTGCATGAAGCAGGATGCTGGACTAGATGGACTGAAACTGCAGACTGTTCTTGCATTTTTACTTATCACCCACTCTTGCTCTCTCCCTTTCCTTTGGACCCATCCTTAAGTGTTTTCTTGCTATAAATTGTAAGTATGTAGAATTGTTGACATTAGGCACATTATGGGATTTCATTACTTATGTAAGAGTCAGAGGAATATCTAGTTTGTTTGCTTTGGGTCACTTTTGGTACAGTGTGTGATATTACAGTAGCAGTAAGGATGACTGAACAAAAATAGATTCACATCAGTGCTCTGAGGTTATTATTCTTGTAGGAAGCAGTTGCCAAATGGAGGCAAAGTTGCTAGCGAATATCCTGCTACCACAGCACAAGACAAGCAGGTCATTTCCCCGGGTATTTTTTCTTTTCCTAAATGAACCCACATGAAAGTTCTCATCAATATCTTCTAGCATGCTATTAAATATGTTTATTTTTATACAATGCTTTATTTGATATTTTAGGAAAAAATCTACAATCATTTTAAAATAGGTGTTATATTTGCTGTCAGCCACAACAAAAGGTAACAGAAGACCTGGAGGGATCCCTGCGTTAGAGGTATTTATTGCAGGTGTTAAAGGATGAGACTGGTATTTTGCTTTATGGATTTATATTTGCTGCCAAACAGTACATGGACTGTGCACACACACACACACACACACACAGGCTCAGAAAGCTGTACAAATCACCTGTTGTGATGCTACACATAGAAGGTGCCTGCACAAAGCCTTACATGTTAATGAGGTTTCAGCTACACAGCATCAGCCTGGTGAAGGAAGCACACATCTCCATTTTGTCAGCAGAAGAACAACCTAAGGAGAAACAGCCCCCATTGTTGAACTGTCTGTTGTCACGTATGCAGCATCTCTGCTTTATTTTACATTGGCATTTCCTGCTGGATGGACCCTTTGATGACCAGAGAATGGCCGAGCTTCATCCGCACTTCAAGGAGGTTCCTTGACGTCAAGTTTCACACTTGCTCAGATGCCCTACTTTGAGGTAGATCTTAAGTTACAACATTTCCCAACCCTCTAGGTTGCCACCCCTCAGTACACGCAACCAATAGGATTAGTTTTGGGACGGACAAACAGGTAGGTGGGTCCACAGGTTGGCACAGTTGCCACCCACCCAAACATCCACCTATAAAAGGTGAGGACCAGTCACCCAAACATCCACCTATAAAAGGTGAGGACCAGTCACTTGGCCCTTGCTAGCCGCAATCCCCACAACACCCCCTGTCTGCTTTAACTCCCCTTTTGTCCAGCTCTCTATACCCAAATCCTTGCCTCTACTTGATCTCTTGATCTGCAGTCAAGAGACCCACACATGCTGGCTGGTTCTAGCTGTGTGTTAAACTTCCCTAGATTCTATTTCTTCCCGTCCATTCTTCATTGGAACGGACAAGCTTCAGGACAGATAAGTATCACCCCTCATCACCCTACCTGCTAATGCAAATGTGCTTAAGTTTAATTCTGTATTTCTAAGGAACTTGATTGTGTGTGAGCATCAGTATTGTTTGTATGTGATTTATATCTTCTTAAGTAACAGACAGTAATTTTGAACAACGCCTGCCTCGACTCCTTTTACTGGTAACCCTTGGTGGGAGCTGGACCTTGGTAGACATTGGCAAGAACCCATCTAAATTGCCAATTGCTGTAGATAAAGCAATTTGGCTAACACAGGTATGCCAAGAATCCAACTGATCCAATCACATGCTATTACAATTCATACAGAAGAGCCTTAAAAAACAACCAGTTTGGGGTTTTTTGCATGCATTTTATATTTCATTAGAGCTATGAATCAACCAACAGACAGACTAGATAGAGGTCTTGTACTATCCTCCTTCCTGGCCATTGACTATTGCAAAGCTGTTTCTTTAACACTCACTTGGCCCATTTTTACCAATGTACCATTTTCCCCACATGTAAATTTACTAGAATTTCTTTAACTAAGCTTGATTCACAATCCAAAGTGTTGCTGCTTTATGATCCCATCTTCAAGTTTTCTTTCCCCTCAGAAAGGTCAACTTAGAAAATGTAAGAGTTCAATTCCAAGAGGCTAAAGCATGTTTGACAAAAGTTTTAACCTCAGAACAGTGAGTAGTAGGGATAGGAACAAACCAAACCATGAAGCATAATTCGACATGAATTTTGCTGTTTGTGGTTCGCAAACTGAAGTTCGTGTCGGGTCTACTGTTACAAACTTCCACAAACGTTTAAAGGAGTTTGTGGACAGAGCACAAAACAGGGGTCCTTTAAACCCCCTTCTGTTCCCCGCAAAAACAACTGTTTCAGGCTTTCTTGTGCAGTCCCTTTAAAGTTTTAAAGGGATTACACAATAAAGCCGAAAAAACAGCTGAGCGGCAGGGAGCAGGCTGCTCCCTACCAATGGTCCCTCTAAGCTGTGGAGTCGTGTGAGAAAAAATTCTACTTTGTGAGCTACTGGCATTAAAGTTGTGAGTGAGTGATTTGGCTGCTGCATAAATTAGTTTGCTCTGGAGCCATCCTTCCTGAGCGAAGACAAAAATGTGTGAGCTGGAGTCTAAAAAACTGTGAGCTAGCTCACACTAACTCAGCTTAGAGGGAACACTGCTCCCTACTGCTCAGCTGTTTTTTGGGCTTTATGCAAGCCCCATTTAAAGAAACTGTGGTCCCTTTCATTGCTGTTTGCAGGGCCATGAACCAGTTCAGTTCGCAAACTAATATCCCGGTTCAATTTGTGGTTCAGCTATAAACAGATGTGAACCACATTTTCCAGTTTATGCCGATCCCTAGTGAGTAGTAAAGTTGAGTGAAATGTGGTATGATTGCTAGTTTGGATTTACCCCTAAGAAAAGCAATATCACCCTCCCCATGATCTTGTAGATGTAAATTTCCCCTAGCTTGGGGAAGTAGATTTCTTCCTGGATGATGCTTTCACGCCATTAACACTGACTGGGCAGAAAGGAACCCTTGCAAGAAACTGTTGGTTTCATTGTTTGCAAATCCAACTTCTTGCCTCTACATTATGGTGCTCAAATAAGGCAAGAGGTATCAGGCTAGGTTGGGGAAGCACTATTAGAGCAGCAGCAGCTTCTCTGAAAATTAGTACAAAACGAGTCAGGAATATCTTAATGAATCCAATAGGGCCTTCTTCTGTGAACATGTGCATAGGATTTCAGCCCCTATGCATTTTTCCTTTCCTTTTAGAGTTAAGTATTAAGCAAGAACAAAAACCCCAACCTTTTCAAAAATTCCTTTAGGGCTTATTTCTTGCAGTTTACTCAATAACCACAAAGTTTTTTCTGCAAAAGTGGTGTTTATTTCCTTTAAAAATATTTTGAAAATAAGCTAATGTAGCCAGTTCCAACATACTATGTAATGCTTCAGTTAATGAAGATAATTGTGTTAGTGGCCATATTTAAAAATGCTACGTATCAGCTGTGCAAAACAAACAGTATGATAAATGAAATAAGTGGCATAATTGTCAAGTTGGATTTTACACAATCCAATTTCATCTTCTGGTCTGGAATTCATACAAATGAGTATTAAAAATATATCTTCTTAAAATACAGAGGGCAGTTTATACATAAAATGAAAGAGTCTAAACAATACAAAATGTCATACAAGGGAAGTTTTCAATTACAGGTTTGCAATGTCATATTTTTATTTTATTCAAATATATAAAGCATGTGCATTGATTCTAATCACTACCCAATGTAATTTTGCCTTCACTTCCTAACAGTGATGTACACACAATATTGGTACACATCCACACACTCTGCCAATAACATTGTTGAAATGATTCCTCCAGGTCCTATTTCATATAGAGCTCTTCTGAAACTTTTATGTTCTTATGATCTAAAGAGTATATACGTTCAGCAAACATTTATTGCCAGTGAGAAATGGCTCATTATGCATATTTATAGTATGCACACTATTAGTTGTGGTTTAAAGCCCTCTCTAGAAAAAAATAAGAAATACAAATTAGGACAGCTTCCTCCTCTTTCCTACTCTACTACTTTTTAAAAGGCAGTTCAAACATATCATGTCATGATACAAATCACCAAATAAACAGTTTTTTAAAATCGGGATAGACAGTGATTTTGTGTTAGTTATTCTTAATTATTTTCCTGGAGAAAATTTCTATCCACCCAATCCAGAAAGGACCATCCACTGCCAAAGTATGTTTCTGCACAGATCTTGCTTTTTTTGATCAGCCCTATGTACACAAAATGGTGATTTGGAAGGGGGAAATCCCTTGGACCTAACACACAGATGGGATAAAGTTAACTTGATCTGAAGATTACTGTGATGCTTCTATATGAGAGCAAGTCACTCTTATTGTCCCCTCCACAACAAGTGACTGATAAGAGGAGACAGCCCCTAATCATACACTTAGCAGTTTCAGTACAGCAATTTCTCAGTGTATGGCTATCTTGGTGTTGGGGATGGCATATACTTTCTGCAAGGAACATCATATCCTGGTGGTAAGTTTTAGTTAACTGATCTTTCGCCTTTTAATTTTAGTACTGTTTAAAATTAGATAACATGATAAGAAGGGTTTAAGACATTTAATGAGAAGCTCAATTTAAAAAGAAAAAAATATAAATCCTTGGGAAAACAACTTCTTTCTTCAGGTACTCCACACCCATTCCAGAGTAGATTGTGATCCAGTAAGAAATAATTTTATGTAATCAAACCTCATATCATTGCTTTAGTTCCAAGATCATGAGTTCCTTCTCCATTTCAGGGTTTGAACCACAGTCTGAAGTCTACTCCAGTCCTTGGTATGGAAGCAAGCTTTGATTAGTGGTAATCATTCAGACTACAAGGAAAAACTGCGGTTTTCCTCCAACCATGGGATGAGGAGAGTGCACAGGCTCAGAGGAATAGTGTGGATGGTGCTCTCAATTGCCAAAACATGGCAGCTCTGTGACCTCTGCATTTAGCAGCAATAGGCTGGTAATGGGAGTTTAAAAAAAAATTAAGGAAAATACTAAAGACTACAAGCTATAACTTTTAAGTGAGACAGTTTTTGAAACCAGAATATTGCTTCCCCTGAGTTTAATGGAATTGGGCAGAGCACCAACTAAGAAGTTCTGCTGTTCCTGTTCTTCATGTTTAGGCCCACATGGCAGAAATGTAAGACGCGTGCTGATTTTCCATAAGAGCACTTAATTTCTACACATAATTGACAAAATGTTTCACTTCTTTCAGTGTTCAAGATGAATTTTCAAGGTCTGTTTTAAAACGTTTAGAAGTAGCACAGTCTGTTTCTATTGTAAAACACTGCATACCTACAGTTCTCCAAGTACATCCTGTCTGTACCTTTGAAATGTGTGTCATGGGATATGCGGCTGCATAAAAATACAGTTTGTCACGTTTTGCCAGTTTTGATCAGTATACCCTGCAAATCTTCTGGTAATGCCAGTATAATTGAATCAATGTGCGTCTGTAACTTTTCCATTGTGCCAGGTTTCGCCGGTAAGTTTTCTCCGTCAGCCTGTAATCACAAAAGTTGCAATTAAAAATCTATAGTAATATTAAAGAATCTGTGAGAATTCAGGAAAGTAATCAAAGTTGAATGTTTTGGAAAATCAGGACTGATACAGTCTGAGTTCAATATGCAATTATTTATTTAAAACATTTTTATGCCACCTTTCTACCTGATCAGAGTCCACAAGGCAATCAAGCTTCTGGGATAAGATTGCTCTTGGGGTGCTCCTGGCTCTTTTGTTGTTGTTGTTGTTGTTCACAGACTGGTCCTGTGTACTCCCTGAAACTTTTAGTTTCTAAAATTTTCACATTAAAATATATTTCGGAACTTTCAAATTGAGTATTATTTATTTATTTATTTAATTCAATTTGTATTCTGTCCTCCCTGCTGAGGCAGGCTCAGGGTGGCTTATATTAAAAAATTAAAATACATTAAAACACAAATTCATTAAGCACGATGCATAAAAACTCATATACATGACAACAAATAAGTACAGTTAAAGTGCTATTCAAAGTCTTAAAAGATGCTGCTACTAAAGTGCTGCACTCAATTTGCCAGCAAATTTGGAAAACGCAACAGTGGCCACAGGATTGGAAAAGGTCAGTATACATTCCAATCCCAAAGAAGGGCAATGCCAAGGAATGTTCAAACTATCGCACAATTGCACTCATATCACACGCTAGCAAGGTCATGCTCAAGATCCTACAAGCTAGGCTTCAACAGTACGTGGATAGAGAACTGCCAGAAGTACAAGCTGGGTTTCGAAGAGGTAGAGGAACTAGAGATCAAATTGCCAACATTCGCTGGATTATGGAGAAAGCAAGAGAGTACCAGAAAAACATCTACTTCTGCTTCATTGACTATGCTAAAGCCTTTGACTGTGTGGATCACAACAAACTATGGCAGGTCCTTAAAGAGATGGGAGTACCAGACCACCTCACATGTCTCTTGAGAAACCTGTATAAGGGCCAAGAAGAAACAGTTGGAACCGGATATGGAACAACTGATTGGTTTAGCATAGGAAAAGGAGTACAACAAGGATGTATATTGTCACCTTGCTTATTTAATATATATGCAGAGTACATCATGCGAAATGCTGTCCTGGATGAATCACAAGTGGGAATTAAGATTGCTGGGGAAAAGATCAACAACCTCAGATATGCAGACGATACCACTCTAATGGCAGAAAGTGAAGAGGACCTAAAGAGCCTCTTGCTAAGGGTAAAAGAGGAGAGCGCAAAAGTGGGCTTGAAGCTCAACATCAAAAAAACTAAGATCATGGCATCCGGCCCCATCACTCCTTGGCAAATAGAAGGGGAAGTCGTGGAAGTAGTGACAGACTTCACGTTCCTGGGATCCCAGATCACCGCAGACTGTGACAGCAGCCATGAAATTAAAAGACGCCTGCTCCTTGGGAGGAAAGCGATGGCGAACCTAAACAGCATGATAAAAAGTAGAGACATCACCCTGCCAACAAAAGTCCGCATGGTCAAAGCAATGGTATTCCCAGTAGTCATGTATGGCTGCGAGAGTTGGACTATAAGGAAGGCCGAGCGCCAAAGAATAGATTCTTTTGAACTATGGTGCTGGAGAAGACTCTTGAGAGTCCCTTGGACTGCAAAAAGATCAAATCAGTCAATCCTAAAAGAAATCAACCCTGACTGTTCCCTGGAAGGCCAGATAATGAAACTGAAGCTCAAATACTTTGGCCACCAAATGAGAAGGGAGCACTCACTGGAGAAGACCCTGATGCTGGGAAAGATTGAAGGTCAAAGAAGACGCGGACGGCAAAGGATGAGATGGTTAGACAGTGTCATCGATGCAACGAACATGAAATTGAGCAAAGGGGCTCTCAAGAGTCTTCTCCAGCACCATATTTCAAAAGAATCTATTCTTCAGCGCTCAGCCTTCCTTATAGGCCAACTCACAGCCATACATGACTACTGGGAATACCATTGCTTTGACCATGCGGACTTTTGTTGGCAGGGTGATGTCTCTACTTTTTATCATGCTGTTTAGGTTCACCATCGTTTTCCTCCCAAGGAGCAGGCGTCTTTTAATTTCAGCAATCTGTTGACTTCCTCTAGACTGAGTAGACTGAAATAATCCAAAATCGGACTAGAAGACGTGCATGGAGCCTCAAGTTCATTCACTGTCTCAACTGTGGCAGGAAGATCACGGCGGAGTGACAAGACCTTATCTGCGAAATAGCTCGCAAAAGCCTCACAGCCAATGTCCAATTCCCTAGCGTTTGGTCTGCCCTGTGGCAGGACTGTCAAAGACTGAATAGTTCTAAACAACTGGGCTGGGCATGAACTTGCAGACGTAATCATGGCCGCATAGAACTCTCTCTTTGCGGCTTTGACTGCCATCTCATAGGATCTCATAAACGTCCTGTAAGATGTTCTTGTAGCTTCGTCACATGAACGCCGCCACTGTCTCTCTAGCTGTCTTAGCCTCTGCTTCATAAGCCACAGCTCCTGGGTATACCAGGGAGCCAGCCTAGAGTGAGGGCGCAGAGGGCATCGGGGAGCAATCTTGTTGATGGCTGCCGAGAGTCGGCTATGCCAGTCCTCTACAAGCTCATCCAACAAGCCGCCTGGGGGCATCAGATCCCGCAGCCACATAGGGTCCATTTGGCTCCGTGGGTGAGCTAAAATACACTTGCCACCCAAACAGGGTTGGGATGACACATTCACATGGGCCTTCAGGGCATGGTGGTCTGACCATGGTACTGCCAGAGCAGTGATCCGGTCCACTGTAACCACTGCTGCGAAGATCAAATCAAGTGCCTGCCTGGCCCGATGTGTGAGGGCCGTTATATATTGGGAGAGTCCTAGTGCCGCCGTGGACAACACCAGGTCCATCGCCTGTGTGGAGGCCACACTGACAATGAAGTCACCCAGGACTATCAGTCTAGGATGCTCCAATGCCCAGCCCGACACAGCCTCCACCAGGGATGACACGCTATTGGTCGGTGCGTTGGGCAGCCGGTACACTAACCAAATAGCCAAACTCTCCCCAGCTTCCTACACTAGGCCAGTGCACTCAATGCCCGTGAGCTGAGTATGATTTGTCCCAGGGAAAAAAATTCAAAATTTGCAAGACTAACATGAAGCGGCCATCCTCATGGATCCATCTGAACCCAGCGTTACCATTTCACTGCTTTGGGTTTTAGCCAGCAGGAGAAATGGGGATGATGGATAGAAATGATGGGCAACACATCAATGTCACTTCAGGGTGAAAACCAGGATGGGACATCAGTGTTTCAGGTGATGCTCTGGAATTTCCCTCAAACCTCTATGGTATTATGTCATTTCTGCCCCTTGCCCTGCCTCCAAAGCTCCCACAGGTGCCAGGCAGGAGCCTGGCAATTCTATGTTAAATACAAACAAGACTATGACCAGAAAAGGTTTTATATGCTAGGTATACATCTCTTGTGGAAGGCCAATTCCAGTTCCCATTCTCAGAAGGGTTCTATGAGTTACTATCTCTATGGCTCCACTGGAGCGCAGATGCATGGGAGGGCATACACTGGGTGGCTTAGAAAAAATGGGCATAGGAAAATCCCACTGTCTTTCACAAAAAGGCTTCAGATTTGGGTCCTTTTAGGCCCTGGGTGAACTCTGTAATTCTCCTCTCATGTGGACAGTACCTGCCTTTCTGCCCAATATAACTGTATACCAGGGCTTAATGGGAGTAATTTGTGTATACTCACTGACAAGAGTGGAACAAAGCCTGCCAAAGGTGGTAATGTCTGGATCCTGATCATAGGTACCCCTAAGTAACTTGTTTATATAGAACAAAATCTACTTAATCATAAAGTAGGTTGAAGCAGCCCCCCTTATTACCTTCTGCTCCATAAAAGTGACAATTTGTTTTAATTCCCCCCCCCAATCAAGTCACAGCTGACTTATGGAGATCCCATAAGGTTTTCATGGTAAGAGACATTCAGAGGTAGTTTGCCAATCCTTACCTCCGCATCACGACCTTGGTATTCCTTGGAGATCTCCCATTCAAATACTAGCTAGGGCTGACCTTGCTTAGTTTTAAATTACAGAAACTTTAATAACCAACTATAATGCATTACCCAAGAATGATCACCAGAGGCAACTTCAGTAAATGCATGGGGCCACTAGAGGGAGCCACTAACAAATAAGCATGTTGCAATCATCTTTCTAGAATCTCACAACTGTAAGGAAAAACTAGAAATGCAGGAACTCGACACTTGCCTGGTGAAAGTTACCAGAAGAACACTTGAACTAGAAGAAGAAGAAGAGATTGGATTTATACCCCACCCTTCACTACCCAAAGGTGTCTCAGAGCGGCTTACAAACTCCTTTCCCTTCCCCTCCCCACAACAGACACCCTGTGAGGTGGGGGTGGGGCTGAGAGAGCTCTGACAGAAACTGCTCTTTTCTCAAGGACAGCTCTTATCAGAGCTAAGGCTTGCCCAAGGTCATCCAGCCAGGTGCAAGTGGAGGAGTGGGGAATCAAACCCGGTTCTCCCAGATTAGAGTCCGCGCAGTTAACCACTACACCAAACTGGCTGGAGCGGAACAGGTAGGTACTTTGGGAACTTACAGAGACACAGTGTCAAAATAGATAAAACACTGAAGGCTAACCACACTAAACAGATGCCCTAGCTAAATGGCTTACAGTTCACAGATCCTGAGCTATGTCAGCCTGACATAGGCCTCCCTTGCTTGCTTCTAGGGAAGGCAAATATAACTCTTGCTTCAAGGTTTCACAGTTTTTTCAATAATCACACTCTCTTACATCAATGAGTGTTCTTTTCCTACTCTAGAGAAATCCTGTCCTTCCTTATGGGGCTTTATGATTGCTGTTGTGTTTCTGCTTTTAACTAAAGAGGCTGCCCAAAGGAATTGCCTAATTTTGGAGCTTAATTAAAACAAAGAATAATAGGGACTAGGATGCAACTCTTAATGGGCTTAATTAGGTTTATAGAGATGGGGGGGCAAGCATGAGCAAGGAAGTAATGATGCTGAGCAGGAGAACTAATTTAGCATAGGGACCATCAGACAAGCCTAGTCCCTCCTTATAGTCCTCCTGCTAGGAAATATAGCACAGGGCTGCTGTGTTCTACCCCAACCCCTCATAGATATGAAAGAAGGCAGAGCTGCTGAGTTTTCATTTTAGCTCTTAAATTTTAATGTGAAGAGAGAATATATGCGCTCATGTACAGCAGCTACTCTAATCCTCAACTACTTTTGCCACCTAACTGAGGGGAAAACAGAATAACTCTCCCCACAGCCAGAGATTTAGAGCCACCTTGGGAACTCAAAAGACTTGCGGCATGGAGTCTGTCGTAGACTCTCCTGAACATGTTCTTGCTTTAATTGTAGAACTAATGCTGAGTCTTTACAGAAGGTTCCCTCCGTCCTTAAGATAAATGGAAACTTCTGAATATCTCTGCATTTGACCAATATAACTTTTTTTAAAGCACAAATATTTGGCAGAAATAGAAACACCTTATTAAACAGAGTGAGCTTCAGGTCCTGATGGCAAATCATGCTCAGCTCTTATAATATTTTAAAACCAGCACAATACAGTATTTTGTGTCAAACACTTACAATGCATTCATTCCCTTGCAGAGTTACTACAGTCCAGGCCCACTGAAATCAATGGGTTTAGACTGAATGAATTCTGCACAGGATTTCACTGTTAATTACTCACCAATTTATCCTTTAATTTTAAGACAAGGTCCACTGTTTCTACTTCACTATGTTTTTGACTCCAGAAAAGCAAGTCCTACCAAAAAGACATGGTTAGGTTACATTAAAGACATTTTCACTGAAGGCAGATCACAAGAAAGTGTTATTGGAGCTTCATAACATTTCTTAAATCCCTAACTTTTTAAGTTCCTCTATGCTAGCACCAGAAACTAGTAACTGGCAAATAAAATCTACTTTTTATATGTAACAGAAACTTTGATGTGGCTGCTGGTGCACTACGCAAATATGACAGTTTTAAAATGTTAAATCCTAGTAAGTTACAAATTGCTAATACATCAATATTAGGAAAAAGTATTACCCTAGTGGGAAGAATAAATAAGTCACTTTACCAGAACAGTTTCTGATTTTCTTGTGGATGACCTCCCATGCCTTATAATAATTGCAGGTACTTTGAGACCTAATTCTTACAAGCAGCCTGTGGCTGGATTGTAACACTTCAAACTGCAGTGGAGGCTCACATAACAAAATGTTTCCTCATGTAAAAATATCCCATGCAAATGGAAAACGAGCATATCAAAGGAAAAGTTTTAGCCTAACCTCTCCCCTTATTTTCTGCATGCATTTGTTTGGTAGGACTGAACAGTCTTATTATGCAGTTTGGAAAAAATGCAGACTGGACACAGATTAACCACTTTATTTACTGCTTGTGAGATCAGATCTATGCATCCTTCTAGGTCACTGCAGATGTAATACTAGGTAAAGGTAAAGGTTTCGAAAGCCAGTCAAACCTGACTCTGATGTGGTGCTCATCTCCGTTTCCAAGCCGAAGAGCCAGTGCTGTCCAAAGACGTTTCCATGGTCATGTGGCTGGCATGACTAGATGCTGAGGCGCATGGAACGCTGTTACCTTCCCACCAAAGCGGTACCTATTTATCTACTTGCAATTTCTTGCTATCGAAATGCTAGGTTGGCAGGAGCTGGGACCAGAGACAGGAGCTCAGATGTAATACTAGACAGCTGTTATTCACTGTCATAGGACACTCCCCACTTTACTCCATATGCTGGAAGCATTTAAAATCTTTTGAAACTGAAGTGCTTCAATTTGAGTACACCAATTATAGTTAACTACAGTTATTCAGGATTCTGTGGCCTGTTTTCAACTCTTTAAACCCCAGTTAACAGCAGGCTTGTACTATGTCTACATGAACACCCTGTCATCATCATGTTCAAGTTAATGCCTGGGTGGCTATATTCCAGAGTTAGAAATACTTATACTGATAGTGAAAGCTTAAGAAACCAATCTAGATCAGATTTTGCAAGCATACAAAAAGGAAAAGAATAGAAAACAAACTGACTTGCACAATTATGTTTTTTGGAAACTCCTTGTAGAAGCATATGACTGAATCATTAGGCACAAATTAGATACCCAAATCTTCAAACACTGTGAAAATGACATCATAATGCCACAATGACTGGGATCCAAAGATTCCACTGTGTAATGAGAAGGGATTTGCTTTTTTATGGGATTGCATATTTTTACTCTATCAGCAGGGGCCCTGTGAGATCAGGGCCCTGTGGGATCTGTTACCATTCTGCAGGGCCTGCAAAATAGAACTGTTCCACCAGGCCTTTGGGTGAGGCAAAGGGCATCCAGGAAAAAAGCTGACCTCCCTGCTGAAGGTACCATCTTATGCGGCCCGGACTATACAACCTTGGATTTCAATGACACCAATATTGGGGACTGTACAAACTGATGTATATTGTTTTAATGGTTTTCATTAATTATAATTATTACTATTTTGTTGTAAGGCCTAAGTGTGAACTGTGATCCGCCATGAGCCCGTTTGTGGGGAGGGTGGAATATAAATGTGAAAAATAAATAAATAAATAAATAAAAACAATCCCAGAGGATCATTTATAGAAGTTTTCCAGATCACTGGAAGGCTGCAAACAGAAGAAAGTTGGTGACCCCAATCCCACGTACAAGTGATTTTTCCTTGCTCAGCAAACCTCTGAAAACAAACAATCTAAGGGTGGTGGAAAGCACCATCAAATCACAGCTGACTTACAGCAACCCTGTAGGGTTTTCAAGGCAAGAGACATTCAGAGGTGGTTTGTCACTTCCTGCCTCTGCGTAGCAATCTTGGGCTTCCTTGATGGTCTCCCATCAAAGTCCTAATCAGTGCTGACCCTACTTCGCTTCTGAGGTATGACAAGACCAGGCTAGCCTGGGCCATCCATATCAGTACAAAGGTGATATTAGGAATTTGCTTTACAGGATTTAATGTAAGATTGCCAGAGTTCAGTCATTATTGAGTGAGTTCTGTGCTCAATGGAAAATTCAGCTCGCATACAATAGTGCTGCTGCAACACACATCTCTCTGCAGTGGTCTCTGTACCACAATGAACAAAGAAAGTGGATGGGCCTCTCAAAAGCATATACTACAGATGGATGGGTTCAGTATATGTAAGAACTCAATGTTACAATTTAACATTTTAAAATATAGTGGGCTGAGGTCTAGAAAGACCCAGGCACAGAAGGCATTGTAATTTCTCTTCTGATAGCAACCCTTCCTCCAGTGGAACACTGCTCCAGAGAGTTTCCAAACCTTCAAGGGCAGCTTTTCAGTCAGTGGTAGGAAAAAAGTGGCTAAATCCACTTGAGCATGTGAAAGACTGCAGAGACCTTTGAATCTTGACCACTGATACTGCTATTATTAATACTACTACATTTTTATGAGATATAACTATTTTTCTTGTAAGATATGTTTTTGCTACACAAGGGTGCAATTAGATACTATGCTGGAGGATCTGTGATTAAATACTTTTGGAGAGGCAATTTCCTTTAAAAACAGCCGGAGGAGTGGTGATTTTGGATCAGGATTACAGTGCTGGGGTTTTAGCTCGCGCGGGGGGGGGGGGGGGGGGAGCCAATCTACTGTCAAGTTGGTATTACCCCTGGTAGGAAACGTGAATGAGGTTTTCTCTAGGGGAAATGGCATGGGGGATACAAAGGTTAGCTCCATTCTGACACAGTGCAATTGTCAGACAAAAATCCCCTCCCTTTTCAGACCAGCTTTTAGAAAAACTAGAAGCCATCTGGAGATCTAATCGTGGATCTCCATCATCCCATCTAGTTGCACCTTAAATGAAACGTTCTGGGGTTTTATTGTACTTTTTTATTATGATACCTCTAAAGAGGACAAAAAAATGCATAATGGAAAATTGCTTTTCTAACCTCATTGCACAATGCCTCTAAATGCAGTGCCTCCAACTTTTGTGTCATGTCTTTCCGCCGTGTCCTGAACCAACCGTCAAAGTTAGGAGACTTCAAGAAGTGTCTTTAAGACAAAAGGAAAATTAATCTAATTAGTGGAATAAAATGGCATTCTGGAATTAACTTTGCAGCAACTCTGCCTTCAAAGCCAAAACATTTGAAGTGTAAGAACTTGGCCAATACCAAGATATTACAGAGCATCTTTGCAGGCATAAATGGAAGAAATCATATTGAATGTGTAGCATGCAGCACAATCTTCCCACCAACAATTCTGTCTGTAGCAGCTTGGGGGTGGGGGGTGGGGATCCTAATCTCCCTCATAATAATAGCTTGTTACAATCTGATCATCCACTAAAAACAAATAAATATGGTGATTTCGTTAGTTCCATCATTAAATGATTTCTTTTGCCAGATGAAGAATGGTGTGACTAATTTCAATGGGATAGTCAGCTGGAGTCTCACTCCTTTTGGGTGTTTGGTCGTTTGCAAGATGAGGCTTTCATGGAGAATGGGAACCTTATAAGAACATAAGAGAAGCCATGTTGAAGCAGGCAAATGGCCCATCCAGTCCAACGCTCTGTCACAAAGTGGCCCAAACCTAGGTACCATCAGGAGGTCCACCAGTGAGGCCAGAACTCCAGAAGCTCTTCCACTGTTGCCCCCCAAGCACCAAGAATACAGTGCATCACTTGCCCCAGTGTTCCATCCATACCTTGTGGCTAACAGCCACTGATGGACCTCTGCACCAAATGTTTATCCAATCCCTTTTTGAAGCTGTCCACGCTTGTAGCTGCCATCACTTCCTGTGGCGGTGAATTCCATGTGTTAATTACTCTTTGGGTGAAGTACTTCCTTTTATCTGTTCTAAGCTGACTGCTCATTAATTTCATTGAGTGCCCATGAGTTCTTGTATTGTGAGAAAGGGAGAAAAGTACTTCTTTCTCTACCTTCTCTATCCCATGCATAAGTTTGTAAACCTCTATCATGTCACCCCTCAATTGTCGTTTCTTCAAGCTAAAGAGCCAATTTGGAACCCATCAACATATATTTATAGTTAGGATTTTTTGTTCTAATGTGCATTACTTTGCACTTGCCCACAATGAACCTCATTTGCCACACTGATGCCCACTCACCCAGCCTCAACAGATCCCTCTGGAGGTCCAATCTTTTTGAAACTTTGGGGGATTTTTTTGAGAAGAGGCATCAAAAGCTATGCCTCTACCTCAAAAAATAGCCCCCACAGAGCCCCAGACACCCCCAGCTCGATTCTCAATTATACCCTATGGGGACCACTGACTATACTGGATCCTTCTTATAGTCCTATTTGGACTATCTTCTATGTTGTTTTTTATAAAACTTTTTCCCCTTTATTTTTATTTTATTTTCTTTTACCCAAGCTCAAATAATAAAAAATATACACCCTTTTGAAAAACTATCTAAGTCAAGACTACCCAAATTTTCTACCTTTATAATCTCACCCTCACCAACACCAAACCAGAAATATTAAATAAAAATATGAAGTGAAACATACACCTATTCTCTTTCCTTAGCTTCCACAACTACTTATCATAAAGAGAGAGAGAGAATAAGATGATATAAAACCCAACAACCAGAACCACAATAATAAAAATAAAGTATCAACTTATTACTAGGTTACAAGTTACAGATTACCCATCCTTTCTTCATAATAACTACACAATCCATTTCTTTTCTTTTTTTCCAAAAGCCATGAACACCCAAAGAGGAAAAAAAGGGTTACATTATTTAACAAACATAGTTTTTGTCTTTTTCTTCTTCCCCATCTTTCCATAGCCTCCCTCTTCCTTTCAATCTCTTTCAGGTGCCTTGAATCTTTGTACTCATCAGGTTCCATTTCCAAATCTTTCCTTCCATATTTCAAGATACCAGTCCTTGTTCGTTTGTTCATTTTGGGTTTCTTTATACAGTTCTTAACTCCTCTTTTACTACCCCCCCTGTTCTTTCTTTTCATTAACACATTTAATGGGGGCCAGTTTTTTACTTCTTTTTCTATTACAGAGTCTATCATTTCTTTTATAGCAAAGTCCATTTCCTGGATCTTCCTTAAATACTGACCGATTTTCACACTGTTCCCTCGTCTTCTCCTGATCCTCAATACATCTCTGGGTAAATTGATTTCGCTCTCCGTTTTTTTCCTTTTCTTGATTTACAGTTTGATAGTTGTTCACCAGATTATTACAGGCGTCCTTTATAGTTTGTGTAATCTCTATCACTAAAAAGTTCCAAAACTGTTCCAAAGTAAGACTATCGACTTCTGTGTTCAGGTCTAACTCTTCATCACATAATCCCAACTCCATTTTACAGCTTCCACGTACACAGACTATCAGTCCTCTTTATTCGTTTCACAAAAACATAATATCTCAGCTGCTCTCCAACTATTCCTCTCAACCAACGAGAATAGTTCAAACAGGATACATATTTTCCTTACCCCCGCCATTTTGCAGCAAAGTTTCTTTTCCACACTCTTCGTAGCCGCTTTTTAATAATTGGATATATTTCTTGGGGGTATAAAATCCAAATCCACGCAGTTTCCGCTTGATAATACATGAGTTGATATCTTCATTCGATTTGCTTCTTATCTTATTAAACTAAAGTTAAAAGGAAGGTCGCAGCTGTAGCGGATACATGTTGGCCATATTCTGCTCCTTTTCTTGGTCTTGCATCGAGGCAATACGGGCCACTCCTACAACCTGCCGATTTTGGGATGCCCGAGCAAGCCTCTTGCTACCCAAGCTCCCTCCAGGAGTCTGGGTGGTGTCCAAGGCAGTCACTAGGACCCAGGGGCTCCAATAGAGCCAAGAAAGGATGAACATCTTCGGGAGCAGCCTGAAAGATGTCCATTCGCCGTGCTGTACCGGAAGTGTCTCCCAATACAGAGTCTTATGTTGTGCCTGGATCCAAAACACCTGTGTTTAAAATGCCAGGCTGGTTATGGACTCACTCAGTTTCCTGTGCCAAGTCACTAATATGCAGCATTCTTAAAGTATAAAATGGGAATAGTAATAACCTACTTCAGAAGAACTATGGAGGGGCAGACTGACATGACTCAGCAGTTGCAAAGTACCGTGTAAACTATAAAAATATTGTAATTATCATAAAACTATATTATTTGTCTAGAAAATAATTGTGTTTATTTTGGCTTCTAAACCAATTTGCTATCACTTCTACATTTATTTAGTGTCAGCAATATGCTAAGTATTGTACAGAGCACAGAAATGATGCAAGTCTTCTTTAGAGTAGGGATGTGCAAATACGTAATTTTTCACTATGATTTTGTATATATTTAACACAAGCATTTTTGCCTAATTTCTTTGCTAGTTTTCCCATTTCATTCTTATGTGCTTCCCCTTTCACTTTATGGCCTTTTGATACTTACTTCCGCAGTAAACAGATACCTATTTTACTAATAACTTTTTTCTGATCTGGAAAAATACCACCTGGGTGCCGGTAGGCAGCCCCCCGCCCCTATACCATGTGGCCCAAGTTAGGGATCAAAGCGTTCTTAGAACACACCATATGTAAACCGCCCAGAGACCCTTCGGGGTTAGGGCGGTATAGCAAGTTAAAGGTTAAATAAATAAATAAATAGACCACTTCAATTTCATTCCACTCTTTAAACACTGTTAAAAACTTCACCTTTCTAACTGAGTAATATTAGCCCCCCAAATTCTATAACATAACTATTTCAGGATGTCTTTACAATATACAATGAACTTACAAAACAGAATGGGGAAGAAAAGTCAGGGATACTTTCTACATAGCAGTAAATACACCTACAGAGGAAATAAAGGATTACACGGATTTCATTTAAAGTAGAACCTCAAGTATCTAATCTCTTTAGACACAATCCAGAATGAAGTTCTGCTATAAATAAGCTTCCCATTAATTTCAAAGAGGCTTGTACACAGGAACTTCCCTCTGGATTATGGCCCTTCGAAAAAGTAAAGCACATATATATACCACTGCGAAACAAATAGAGAACAGAGATTTAAGGAAAGTACAGTATGTATAGCCTCTTTGCTAAAAGCAGATTTTTATGCAGATCAAGTAATGATACAAGAACCCAGGTCACTACATTTTGTAATACTCTTTTGAAGATAGGTTAAACAAATTTGTTAATATTTATAAGCTAAAAACATATAATGCAAAGCAACAGTCAATAAAAAAGCAAAGTTTTTCTCCGCTTCAATTTTTTGTTAATGGAACAGATTACTCTGTATTTCTATGTAGCCTAGGCTGTAATCTATGTACATTTTAGCATTACTCAGTGGATGAACAAAGTTACCTGTACAGTCCTATCCAATCTCCTTTTAATCTAGAGGTAAGCTGTGGCCCTGCTTTCTCTAGAGTTTTCATAAATTCCTCTTGATTGAATGGTTTCAACTGTGGTGGACTCTACAAGGGAAACAAAGCTGTAAACATAGAGCATGAATTTGTGACCATTTACAAAACAAGTTCTCTGTTTATGAAAATATTCTCACCTTCCAAGGTGATATGCTCTTTTGAAGAGGCATCAAACTTGCTACATATCGTTCCTGGGGGGGGGGAGGGAACAAATATTCTATAAAGTATAATCTTGATGCATACATCACTACATTTTACAAATACATAAGGGTATTCCATTTGGCTCCCTGTATCCATAAAACTGAGCAAATTCCAGAGGATGGTGGAAGACAGGATGGCCTGGCATGATGTGGTCCATGGGATTGCGAAGAGTCGGACTCGACTGTGTGATTGAACAACAATCCAAAAATAAGCTAACTAGACGAGAAGTTTTGAAATGTGATACACTGTCATCATATTATTCTGATAATCAAATGTCACACAAGACCTCATTGGTTTGGTGTACAGAGGTGAAGGTATCTTATTGATAGTAAATGTGGTTCTCAGAATTCAGGTGCTATCCCTCAGTACTATGGTCTAGACAGGACCATGTGTACATAGTGTGTGCATGTGTATGACAGCTCCTCATGCTGCATGGGCTGCTGCCTCACAGGGAGCCTACTCACCAAAAAGCCCCCATGTACATGGGGTCATTGCTTTTGAACCCCAATCCATGTGTGTGGGGAGGTGCATCACCTTCTCCTTCTGTACTCCGTAATCTGCCTTGAGTCTCAGTAAGAAAAGTGGGCTATAAATAGGCTAAATAAAATGACATAAAGTAACACTCATTCTTGATCTCACCCTACATACAGACTCCCAGAAAGAAAATAATCTAATTAAGATTCAGCATAATTAACATTATTCTGGAAAAAGCTATAAAGCTTTTTAAAAAGGAAATTTGATGAAACCATAACTTAAGCAGTGACTCACCTACAAATTAAGGGCTGCTTTTGGCCATTTGGCCCAGGGCTGTGAAGAATTATCCCCTTATTGACTTGAATGTAGATTTTACATACCACTGAGGCATTTTTTAAAAAGTAATTATTTGGAACTTCCGGTTTCGGCGACCCGCAGACGGACACACCTCTTCGAGCTCCAAGGGGTGTGATCTGGATCGGGGCGGCAGGGAGGGAGACTGGATGATTTCGCCCTTGTAGGGGGCTTCTAGCCTGGGGCGCGAAAGGAGTTGCTCCCAAAGCTGTGGCTTGCCCTGTTAGGTCCCGCTGTCCCAAGGCCAGCAATGGTGCTCAGAGATGCATTCCGGAACCAGAGTGAGCAAAGGAACTAAGCAACAGAGACCTTCCCTATTCTACCGACAAACTACTGACAACAAATGTAAGTGATGAAAATCTAAGATAATAAACGCTCAGTGGGAACCGGTACAGAAACAGTGAAGCTCCAATTTTAGAGAAAGGGGGCGAAAGCCTCTCAGAGGGGGAGGAACAACCCCACCCTAGACAAAACAGCGAGAAAAGCAATAAAATTTAAAAGATAAACCGAATGTCTAAAGCGAGAAACTCACCTAACCCACACTGAGTACAGAGGGCTACATTTTATACTGCAAGGAAGATTCTCAGAACTTTTAAGAACGTTTACCTTTAACATAAACAATGTCTCAGCGAGGGGGGGAAATGGCGTCCAGAGGGAAAAAGATTACAGGAACTGCAAGTCTAACATCACCAATCACAAGACCGGAACCAACTTCAGACACTGCCAGTACGATTTCTGAAGCACTGTGCCCTCTGCTGGACCAGATGACTAACCCCAATAAGAATTTTGACGCCCTACAGAAAGAGCTTAAAGAAACTAAGGTAAAAACAGAGAGCCAAAAAGCTGAAAAAGGTTGAATATAAGACAAAAGCACTGGACCAAAGAATGGAAGTAGCAGATAAAGGGCTTCCGAAAAACAACAACTACTACAGCTACAAGTGGAAAGATCACTATATGTTTTAAGATTTCAAGGTGTTCCAGAAATGAAAGATGAGAATTTGAAAGAGATAAGTAAAGCATTGGCTCCCCTGGCAAACTGTAAACCTGAAACACTACAAGCAGATATGGACATGGTTTATCGGACTTATCCAGAATTTGTAAAAAAATAATAATTTGCCAGGGGAAATATTTGTGAAATTATCTAAAAGATCAACAAGAGACTTGATATTCAAAGCATCTAATGGGATAGCTCTAAAAATCCAAGAAGAAGAAATTAAAATGTTAAAGGATGTTCCATTCGAGATACGAAAGAAGAGGAAGCAATATAGAAACATCACATTATTTCTACAGGAAAACTCAGCTCCGTATCAATGGATTATTCCAGAAGGACTTATTTTCAACTTTAGAGGGAAAAAAGAAAAGATTGACTCTCTTGCTAAAGCTGAGCTATTTCTGAAGCAGCATCAAAGTCCAGCGAAGGAAAAAGGAAAAGCAGAAGATAACAACGCAATAGAAGATAAAAGCGAACAACATGAGTCAAGCAATGACAGTTCCTCGTCCTCATCCATATCTATTGGTGAGATTTTTGACTCTGATTCTGAATCCGAACTGGTGGCAGCTGCTCCTAGATCATATAAGGTTAAAATCCCTTGGAAAAAGAAGAAGAAACGTAAAGGAAAGAAAACAACTAAATGAAGATCTGAAAATATCCTTTTTATGTTTTACTTACACGAAATATACCCATTTATGTTACTCTATTCAACATTATTTTTTCTGCATACTTTTTCCTAAGCTAACTATTTTACTGTAATTTTAACTATTAGGGAAATATCAAAAATCGTAATTAGACCATTAATGATCCTTGCCTACTCTATATTTTAGGTTGTAGTGTGCAGTTTGTAGAAGTAGAAATAAAAGCAATTAAAATTATTATTTTATTTTAAATATTTTCCAAATGCCATGCAAGTTGTAAAGCTGACCTTCACCTATGGATGAGAACCCAACGGGCTGGATACAAAGTTTGTTTATTGCAGGGCGGTGGTAATGAATCCCCCCCCCCATAGCATTCTCCTCCATTGTATTCAGTGCTGTCCCTGGTGGCCCAGGATGCAGGGGAGATGCAGTGAGCTGCAGCAGAAACGTGGAGGCAGAGAAGTTCAGCAAGCTCTGCTCATAGTACTTCGCATACGACACACCATGTCTGTTTTCACCCTGAACTTCTAACAAATGTCATTTAAAATATATGTCATTTTACTGGTCAACAGAGATCTGTTTTATATATATGATAGCTTACTAGAGGAATAATGAAGCTTTGGGTCAGTTCCAAAAAGTAACGTCGAAGGATTATGCTTTGGGCTTCTGCAGGACGCTTCTGTTGTACTCCCTAAAAAAATAGCAAACTTTAATAATGATCTCAAGACTGACTGGAATAGTATTTAAAGAAGCTTTTACATCAGACCTAAGTCAGTATCTCCCTACTTATGAAGATAAAAAACTCATCAAAAAGTTCTGGTAATCCAGAGGGCTGTGACTCTAGCTCTAGGTACACAGGAGGGTTTCAGATTCTTCCTCCTACTTTCTCTTCCCTTTTACCATTTACACTGTGTTTAAACTTTGAGGAAGTATCAAATGAGATCTCCCTTGAACACTGAACTCTAACATTCTGATGCAAGCTCTTATGTGGACTTAAAGGGCATCTTGAAATCACAGTCCTTTTATTATCCTATCCTTTTTTTCCAAGGACTAAGAATATAGATCATGAATGTTAATCATGGCTGGGTCACTGAACTGCATTTTTCCACTCTGAAAATGTCCACTACAGCCATTATTCTACATTAAAAATATCTATTCCAGGTTCAAGTTCCCAAGTGTGATGGGAAGAGACAGTAACGTTGTAAGAAAAACATTTCCCCAAAAAGGGATAGCTGTTTTGCGCTGTATGTTAGACATCTATTCTCTTTACTTTCCTGTCTCTGCACAAGATCCTTGACATGCTAGTGCTTTAATCAACAAATATTACCTTTTGCAACTGTTTTATGATGTCTTCATCTCTGTTCAAGTATGGCTTATAAGATGTATAAACACTTAGAGAAAGAATCATAGGATTTCCCTCTAGTTTTGGCCTACAAGGTCATAAAATTCTGCAATATTTCAGTTCATTATGAAGAAACATTACCAGGTTTCGAATCCAAAGTCTTTAAGTTTTTCAGCTTTTTCACTTTCACTTGCTTTGGGATCTCGCCTGACAAAACAATGAAGAGCACAATACATGCTTCAAGAGTTTCTACACACAGACAGGTGTTTTGCTGACTTTTTTAACTTCCAAATGCAACACTTCACAGTAACACCTCTCCTCAGTGGTGAACAAACTCTACGTGACTCCTGCTGTACCTATGATAGTGGCAGTTGTGTCAAAACTGGATGCGCTGCCATGATATCACAGAAAAGGGAAAAGGAAAAGCAGCAGGTCTGGACACTGAGAAAATGGTGGATATTGGTATGCAGAACTTTGCATATTTTGCCCATCAGCTTTGCACAGCCTTCCAAGCTTTGGATGTGATCCAGAAGACAACTAGCTTTTTATATACACAAATAATGCAAATCAAGGTAACTTTGCTCTAAATTGCTGGAAATAGCATTAATTCTTTTCTGCCTGAGAGTAAATTTTGCTGGTGTAAATACACACTCTTCTTAAAAAGAAGCCCAGTTCAATTGTTGACACTGCAGTAGAACAGTTAGATTCAAATTCAGAAGCACCTTAGAGACCAACAAGATTTTCAGGGGATAAGCTTTCGAGAGTCAAAACTCCCTTCATCAGGTACCCTTTGTCAGTAATCTGATAAGGAGCTTTGACTCTTGAAAGCTTATCCCCTGAAAGTCTTGTTGGTCTCTCAGATGCTACAGGACTCAAATCTAGCTGCTCTTTATATCTTACATTATTTTATTTACTAATTTGTGTTCTATTCCTTTAGAATTCTTACTGAGCTCATAATGAACACTGACAAATGGACTACACTGGTTCAATCCATTACTTGGGTTTCAACTCTGGTGCAGTTTTCTGACTGCACATTTTCAGTGCAGTCCTATGCTGAGTTTTGCCAGCTGAAGGCCCCTGAAATGGTTTAAGAGCAATGAAAACAAACTTCATTGAGTAACTCTGCATAAGACTGCACTGTAACAAAGGAATTCAATTAAACTGGAAATGTAAAGTCAGGTTATTATTTTGTGTTCCTATATTAAAACACAGTATCTGGCTTACTTTTATTTTCCTGTTGGTTCCCACTCTGTTGACATTAAAGAAGGTAAAACAGTATAAATCAGAACAAAACTACATCCAACAATATTTTACCTGCCAGTTTAATGTCTCCTATTCGGATGATGTGAGGCCAATGCTGCAGCGTTTTAGCAAAAAATGGATTTGTCACTCCTAATATGACAGAAGGCCTGAAAAAGTGGATCGTATTTAAATGAGACCATTGCCCTTTGTGTGGAGTCAAAATTCATATTCCTCATGAAATTCTAAATATATATGTTTTAAAGTTTCTCTTCTGTCTTCTGAACTAAAACATAAAAGCCTTCGACAACATAGAAAACATATTCAGTTTTCCTGTATAACAATGTCAGTTAATAATGGTATGAACATGAGAAACAAACAAAGCAACAGAGAAGATGACATATGGGATTACAATATGAATCAAAAGAATTCAGCTTAATAAAAAGTAGTGTCCATATCTCATCTGGAAATTAGATTCAAGAAAAAAATATACAAGCCAGAATAAGTACTAAGAACATGCATTATATCCTGCTTCTTCAGTAAGTACAGATTATCAAACCCTGTCTGACAAGGAGGATGAAAGACTGCGCTTATGGCAACTGAATGTGAACTTAGTTAAAAATACCAATTTGGCTATTGTTGACTAGGGTTTACTGCTTTTTCATTCTGAAATAAATAAATGCATACATGCCACTGAAATACATTTATACCAAAAGCTAAACTGCTCTTCATAAACCAGTAGAAATGCTTCCTTCATTCCCAAACAGAGATAGAGGTTGCAGTATAGATATCTGCACTGCTATAACCAGGGCCAGAAAAATACTATGTGCCTTAGGTGATCAAACTGGCGTCTTTTTTCAAAAACTCTCTGATGCAGACAGCCCAGACTGCAGATGCAGCCCTGAACCTCAGTCTCACGATCCAGGAGGAGAACTCTACTCTGCAGGAAGAAGTGCAACTATTGAAAGAAAGAGTTCTGATCCCAGATACTTCAACCAGACAGGGAAACCTGAATTTCAGAGGTCTGCCTTGGAAGGCTCGACAGACTTAATCAGCTTCATGGGCAATTGGTTGGCTTCAGAATTGAAAGTGGAAGACAACATCTTTCCAGCAATAATTAAAGCCTATAGAAAAGGAACTCCAAATAAAACTTGCATCTTTTTGTCAGCTTCTTACAGAGTATGGCTCCTAAAAATGCAAAATACGTTTCTGTTGTCTTTGATCTATTTTGACATCTAGTAAAGTTTTAATTTTTAGAGCTCAATAAATGTAAGATTTGACTCCCCCATCAAACAAGCACTCCCTTCTTTTACAGTTTTCAAGTCAACAACCCAGCAAGTAAAATCAATTGTGAGTGGAGAAATTCTCTAAATCCACAGACAGTAAAGTATTACATACAGGCTGCATTAGGAAATGTTGGTTATGCAAGAACAGGCTCAACATAAAATTAACGTATACTATCAATGGAAGCCATACGGGAGAGGACCAGCTCTAGCTGAAATAATGGCTAAACCACAAATTCCTTGATCTTCTACTTTTATGTAACGGGTCATCATCATTCCAAACACGATATTGTTTCTATGTGCAAAACTTAGTGCTTAAAAAATCTGTCCACAAACATAAAGTCCACTTTAGTTATTTTTCTACTGCTACAGGTACTTTAAAGAAGGATCTTAAAATTGTCATTTCAATATAAGAGTTTCTGTTTTTTGAGAAAGAGACCAATGAATCTAATTCAAGTAGTAGTGTCTTATTGGTATCTACAATAGGACTGTTCAGAAGACACACTAGTGAAGAGTTATAAAGAAAGCCAGTCGAATCCGACTCTAGGGGGCGGGGCTCATCTCTGTTTCCAAGCCAAAGAGCCAGTGCTGTCAGAAGACATTTCTCTGGTCATGTGGCCAGCGTGACTAAACGCCAAGGCACACAGAATGCTGTTACCTTCCCACCGAAGTGGTACCTATTTATCTACTTGCAATTTCTTGCTTTCGAACTGCTAGGTTGGCAGGAGCTGGGGCCAGAGACGGGAACTCACTCCATCATGCAGCACTAGGGTCTTGAACTGCCAAACTACAGACCTTCCAGTCTGCAGCTCAGCGTCTTAACCTCTGAGCCACCGCCACCCCTTGAAGAGTAGACATGTATATTTCAAGAGGAAGTGTGTGATCATGTAGGTCGTCTGTCTGGGACCCTACATTTGCCAAGGTTCTTGATGACATGGGCAGATGCTCAGCTCAGTTTTCCCACTCCCCCAGACACAAACATTTATCGTCTCTTGATTAATAATGAACCATTCTGATGTAGTAATATTATACTGAAAATATATTCACCATTTTGCTTCAAGACAGACGTGGCTGACAAGAAAGAGGTTCTCTGGCTTAACAGAAAGGCAAACTGGGGAGGTCTCTCCTGTCTTGGATGGGGTTATACTCCCCCTTGAAAAGCCAGGGTCACAGCTTGGGAATACTGCTTGACACAGCGGTCACCTTGGAAAACCAGGTGGTTGCAGTGGCTTGGAGTGCTTTTGCCCAATTTGGCTAGTGTGCAAGCTGCATCTGTTCCTGGTTTAGTCAGATCTAGCCACAGTGATCTATGTCTTAGTTAACCTAGACTGTACTACTGCAATGCACTCTATTTGGGGCTACCCCTGAAGAGAGTTCAGAAGCTGCAGCTAATGCAGAATGTTGCACCAAGACTGCTGGTCAGGGCCAGTTACTGGGAACATATGACCATGATACTACAGCAATTACACTGGCTACTGATCCACACCCAAGCCCAATTCAAGGTGCTAGTTTTGTCCTTTAAAGCCCTAACATAGCTTGTGACCAGGGTATCTGAAGGACCGTCTACTCCTGTACATTCCTGCCCAGGAATTAAGATCACAGGGAGAGGCTCACCTGACTGTTCCACCAATCAAAGAAGCTCATGTGGTAGGCAACCAAGAGAGGGCCATTTTGTTGGCAGCTTCACAATTTTGGAGCAATCTCCCCATGAAGGTGCAGCCGACCCCCACACTGTTGGTCTTCAGGACTGCATTTGACTACTTTAGTTTTTATTTATCAGTAGTCCTGAGATTTTTAAATTGTAGTCTTTTAAGTATTTTTATAATCTTTTTTAAAATTTACATTGTGACCTGCACTGAGTTTCACAAGGTAGAAAAGTGGCTAATAAATATTTTAAATAAATAAATACATAAAGGCAACTGAGAAATGTCTACACCTGTGTATTACTAAGCCAATTAGTATATAGTTCAATTGTTGGTGATTTGACAGTTTGGCTTAACACACATCATATAATAAGTTAGTACTGGAACTTAAAAAATGGAATATCTGTACACAAATTATATAGCAAGATATAGCCTATTTCTATTTTCTACCTTTGAATATGTGAACCAGTTAATTACAGCCTCCAGAGTTATATAAGTGAAGGGGCATGATTTCTGTTAAGGTTTCCTGAGGTCTCAAGTCTACAGACAACCTTTTAAAATAAAAATTACATTTGACAGTTACTATAAAATATAAAAACTGTGCAGTTTGTTTTACTTACGGGGCCTGTGTACGAGTAGTATATTCTTTGAATTCGCTGTCATGTATCGTAAAGTAAGGCCTGAAATCACTGTAGTACTTCAAAGGTGAGATACAGCTGTGAAACAAATATATAGAAAGTTAAATAACAGTATTTTTTTAAAAAAGGTATTTTTGGTTCTGATGCATTAAAGGTAACAGGACACAATAAGGCAGCTTTTTCTCCTTAAAATGACATATACAATGTGATCATTTTATGGAACCTAATACATGCTAAAATTCTCCAATTCTGTGATTAAATATTTGTATTAAAACATCTTTATCTCACCTTATACCACAAGGGACACAAGTTGGGTTAAAAATAAAGATTACACATCTGTGTAAACAGAGTAGCATAATTCAGCATTTCCTAAATGGTTCTGTTTTGCACATTTTTTAATTTTCCTGTGATGCCTGAAATGAGGAAATAGAAGAAAGAACAAACATGTTCTCCTTTCCTCCACTTTATCTTAACAACCCTGTAAGGCTGAGAGAGTAACTTGCCCATGGTCACCCAGTGAGCAAACATGCAGGTGTAGAGATTTGAACCTGCGACTCCCATATACCAGTTCGACACTAATGACTCACACGTTGGCTCTGAATGCTTCGTGTAAAGAAATGTGTAAATATCCAATATAAGCCGATGTTCTAAAGATTCTAACAACAGCCTTCACATTTCTGTGACTCATCATGAGATCACAGTTATGTAGATTTTTAGACTCTTCTATGTTTACCTTACAAGTGCCAACACAGTTTCTGAAGACTCTGATGGAGATGGTGCCATGACAACAAGCGGTTCCCCTAACAACACTAGCTCCCAGAGCATCTGGATGTGAAAGAACACTGGCAAGAAACATCTGAAACAGATTTACAAGAATAGTCTTTTTAAATCTTCTTTTATCTACTTATAGCACAGAAAGCAGGAGCAAAGAAAAGGAGAGCACAGCAGAAGGGGAAAAACTAATGCACAACTGAAAACATGACCTACACCAACTTGAGATCTTAAAGCGTTCCCCCCCCCATGACTCTTGGGTCTTCCTGAAGGGTAGAACAGCAATGACATTAAGCCTGTGGAAATAAAATGTGGATGGGGCTGCAGCCAGGGGCAGAGTACCATACCACGATCTGCACTGCTCAGGTCAGTGAGTAGTACCCTCTATGAGGAGACTATAAAGAACAAAGTCAGTAAGATTGCTGTGATAATTCATGTGAATCAGAGACAACCATATCCTCTGCTTCCTGCCTTTCTTCTCACAAAATCTAACTGGGAATATTCTGAGAAATTACGATATTTTTGCACACTGATGCAGCAACAGAAAACTGAGGGTTAACAGAGGCTAACCCTACAAATATGCTGCTGCTTTTCCAGTTCACTGGAGTCAAATATGCAGCCATTAAAAGTACACATTCTACTACTCTTGGAGACATCCTTACCATCCCAAGTTGTTCAAAAGTAAGGCTGATACTCTTGCCTTTTAAGCTGATTATTAAGTTGTTGCCATAAGCAAAAATTCCATTGGAGTTAAGTGTGAGTCTGCCTTACGCTCCTTACCAATTTGCTAAACTCAGCCAATAAAAGAAAACCCCTTCATTTATGAAAGTTTCCCTGATGAAACACATCAGCTTCAGGTCTTCAGAAATCATGGTTTGAAGTTGTGTTGAAAGTTCTTACCTGAAGAGATCCACTTCATGGATAGTAGGCAGAGCAATGGAAATCTGTGTGGCTGGCTGAAAAGCAGAATGGGGTGTGGGGGGGAGCTTTCAGTCAGAATAACAGAATGTACCAGAACACAAAGTGCATATGCTATGCTACCTTTCTAATAAATGATAACCAAGTACCACTTTACATCTTTCATTTCTGATACATTAACTCTTTAAATACTTGAGATTCTACACTGGGCTCTGCACCTATCAGAGCTGACCTTTCTTCTTGCCTCTATTCCCCTTTCCAGCAGCCACAGCCACTCCATGCACAAATACCATCTGAGTGTTGGACAAATGGATATGGACTTCAGCTGTTAGAAAGCTGTCTAAGGTGGTGAAAGAACAAACTACAGGCAAAGTCAGTTGCCAAGAGAGACAAAGACAGAGAAAAGGAGGAACATAAATAGACGGTATTAAGAAGGTAAAAACAGTAGGGTGCTAAAGAGAAAATGTGGAAAAGATCTGAGGCCTGAAATAGGCAGAAAGGGAAACAATGGGAAACAGGAGAAGAGATGAGAATGAGAAAAAGTAGTGGGAGCCACGTGTGTGGGGAGTATGAGGTACTCCCCCCCATTTTTGTGTGTGACGGATTCACCAAAAAGCAGAAATTATCCTGGAAAAGTAACACATTCACACATTAACTGTTTGGATCTCAGGTTTTATGGAATATAAAGGACTCTCTGGAATATGTTAACTTGATCCTTTTTTAAAAACCTCTCTTTCTCACAGTGTTCTGTAATGTTTATCATTTGAAGTGGAATGGGGAATTATCCATTGCACTTGGGGCTGCTACCCCAAAATCTCTTAAGAGAGCAATCTTAAGCATGTCTACTCAGAAGTAAGCTCCATGTTATTGAGTGAGATTTCTCAAGAACGTGTTCTAAGGATTGCTGCCTTAGATACAGAATAAATCTAAAAAGCTAAGAATAAATCTAAAAAGCTGTTTTTGTTAATATTATGACATTCACTGTGGTTTACTTAAGGACAAAATATTTGCATCAGTTTCCACTTCCAGTCTTCCTTTTATTTTGGTACTTGAGTTTCCTGTTATTCCTTTCTTTACAAAGCCCCATACGTACCTTCACATATGGAAATGAAACTAGAAAATCAGCCCTTTGTTTTGAGGCAGTATTTAAATGGCTGGTGAGTTATTCACTACCTGATGTGCAGTCTGTAATACTTCTGTTGTTCCAGGCTTGTCATGACATGTAGGAATCCGTACCTTAGGAAAGAGACAGACTGTATTATTCATATTTTCCCCATAAAACTGAAACCTAAAATAAATGAGAGGTCACTCTTTACCTCTTTTTGAAAGCTGTGAAAATACTACATTCTAATGCATTGTCACAAAAATGGTTTCTTTTCAAAACCATCATTAAAAATAAACACTGGTGGAATAAACTGGTGGTAAAAACTCTTTGTCACTGCTTACACCAATAAGTCTAACAGTCCTCTGAGCAACAAATTCAACATGGAAACCAACAAAAATCAAATGTTCAGGAAGGCAGACATAGCTATAATTGTCCAAGAGAAGACGCAAATAAAAACCTAATGCATCATTTGAGTAAATAAAGTGCTAGCACCATTATTGGACAGTAGTGTGCCTTCATGACTACATGAACCATGGACATGTCAATGCCAGTTAGGTACTTTTCAGTGTCACCACTTGCAGCTGGAGACAGCAAAGCATGTACACAAATTTCTGCCACTGTAAGATTTAAAAGGGTTCCTCTTTAAGAAAGAGAAAAAAGGTAACACATAGGGTAACCAAACAAATTATTTTTTCAGCTGACAAGTATAAATGTAATTTCACCAACTGAATAAAGCCGCTAATGGGGGGAGGGGGCTAATTATTTCAAACCTGGTCTAAGACCAAGGCCATTGCTACTGATGGAGAATTGATCTGACCAAGGAAAGGAACAAAGAAAGCCCTGAAGAATCAGGTCTGTACCTTAGAGGTGCTTTTAAATGCAGACATGTTTGGACATTCAAGTGACTTTGACTGGCTTTGATTACCACACCACCTATGCCATTTCTTGGAAAGCAATAAATATGATATGGTTATCTGTGTGTTGATCATGTTAAGGTCAGACTACTGTTAAATTGGGGCTGCCTCTGAAAACCACTCAAACTACAGCTGGTTCGAAATGCTGAGACAAGACAGTCAGTTAGAATTACAAGTGCCGCTTTTAACCTATGAAGACATTAGCAGCAAGATACCTGAATGCTTATCTCCTCCCATATGAACCTCTCTATTCAGATTACAGCAGTAGCTCCTAGGTCATTCCATCTTCAGAGAGGTAGTGAGTAGTGGCTGAAGAAAGAATTTCTGTTGTTGGGAAACCATGTCTCTGGAACTCCATTCTTTCAAGGAACCAACTTGGCATATTCACTGGCAGCATTTAGAGTCTAGGCAAATAGACCCTAAGCAAAGACCTGTTCTCACACAACTTTGGTCAATGCCTCAGTTGGCTCTATACAGTTTGCTTTCACCCATTAGCAATTGTTGTGTTGCCTTCTTTTAACTATGTTCATGTTCATTCTCTTTCCTGTGCGCTCCTACAAACATGAATTCCATGCAAATATGGAGGAACTATGGCTTCGAAAAGATGCCACCAACTTTAACTTATAGTGGTTACTTCTAGAAAGTCTCAAGAATTATTTTTATCTGTAGTTCAATGAGTTCAATTCCATTGGTTTTCAGTTCCACAGACTGAATTATTGAAAGCCTGACAAGCTTTAAGACCAACAAAGGTGCTACTGGACTCAAAATCTGTTCTACTACTTCAGCTACCCAGCTGGATCAAGCTTTATATGCAGAATTCTAAATTTTGCTCAGTATCTATCAGGGCAACCCAAGTTGGCTTCATTGGCTAAAATATTCATTTTTAACTTTTAGTACAATATACATTGCCACATTGTGGCTAAGGACTGGAAGGCTGTTTTATCTTCTGTTCTTAACAAATACAAACATTAAACAATTAGTTGAATTCACACAGCATATAACACAAGATGATGCTTAAATTTACCTTAATCACAATGCCCATAATGGGCAGATGCAGAGTTTTCCCTGGGACTGGTGATGGCCATCGATCAATATCACTACAAGCTGAAAAAAATAAAGCATGTAAATATAAATACAGCCAATTCTGTTATAATAATGCTTTTTGAAATTTGTGATTAAGGGAGTGGAGCACTTGCCTTAGCCTATGAAACTCTGTTTGGACTTAGTGTGGTGGGGTAACATCGGGACTTAGAGAACCAATGCTTGTAAAAGATGTTTAGCTTTTATTATTTTATATTTGCTGCTCATTGCTCTTATATCATATATCTATGCACATTTATTTAATACGTTCTATTGATTATATTTTGTGGTTTTGGGTTCTGGAGCATCAATCTGAATCCCTACTGGCTACAGCTACCACAGTAATTGTTTGTTGGAACTCAACTTGCAACTGTCCTACCTTGCAGGGCTGAAGAGGGCTAGAGACTCAGTCCATTGGTCTCTGGCTGGTGGGTTAATTAAAGGGGCTGGTAGTAGCACACTGCTCCTGGGGCTGTGAGGATTTACACTCTAGTACATTGTGGTTTTGTTAAAGAAAAGTATACTTGTTGACAAGAAGCCCCACCAACAAAATTCAGCCCACTCAGGCTCTATCTGATACTATTATTCTTGACTTCTATTTTGTGCCATGTGATTCCTCCACTTGGGAAACTGGCATCCCACCACAAACCCATTATGGTTTCTGTTCTGCTTTAATAAGCCCATTCAGAAATAACCGCACATCTCCATTTAACAGAGGTACATAAGTACAATTCACATTTATTTTATCTTTGCTGACGCTATACGTTTTCCAGACTAACATTACCAACCTGCTTCCAAGAAAGGTTCGTTCTTTTCAAAATATTCAGGTGCAATGTGTCCAAGCACAATGTGGAAAAAGTGGATGTAAGGCAGCTTGCTGACCAGAACCAAGGACTTGTGAAGGAATAACAACATAATCCAATATTAGTCTTTCCCAAAGCCACTACAAGCATGTAGAGTAAAAATTGTACATGAGACATTAGTTCTTCACAATACATATAAAAACACAGATTATAATATCAACAGTTAGACACTTTAATACATTAGAAGAGATATATTCCTGACTCACCAATATGCAGCTACCACATCACACATGATTAAAGAGAAAGGTACATTATCAATGCCTGACTGCTTTTTTAAAAGGCAGTTTGGGAAAGCTGTGATCTTGAGTAGAGACACTTTTTCCTTCTTATCTTTTTCCAAATCATCCCCCTCCCCCAACAGAACCACTTTTCTCCTTGGGGGATTCCAGATGCATTGTTGTGCCAACATACATCCGAAAATCCATCTGATAGGACATTTGGAGTGGGAAAACAGTGTGCCTAAACACTATGCAGGGAAGTTGAGCATACAGTGTTGCTTCTTCATTCGAAGCTGCAGCCTCCAAAAGCTGCTTGGGTGTGTGTGTGTGGGGGGGGAGTTCCTTAGGCCACAATCACAATCCTTTTTCTCTGCTCACATTTTCAACTTCAGTCAGTGTGCATTATAGGTATTATTGTGGTTTGTGCATTTGGTCTTGGCCTGAGAATCAAGAGCATCAACTTAATTTAGGCCCCTGCCACACGGACAGGAAACTGCAGAGGAGAAGTGTGGCTGTTTGCCCCGGGGCAAACTAACATGCAGTAAAGCGATCAGACCTACTGTGGAGGTTCTGTGGAGGTACTGTGGAGGTTCCATGGCAAGGGAGAGGTGCCGATCACAACACACGCCTGCGCGCAATGAAGAAGCGCGCGGCGCGGCGAACTGGTTTTCTTTTTTTGTGTACACTACGAATGCGCATGCTCCGTTGGGTGTGTGTGCGCTTCCACGGAGATGTGGGGGGAAAAAAACCCTTTTCCGCAAGGGGACATGGGCGGGCACCGGATACCACCGGAAACGCGATCAGACGCCCGCCCTTGCCCCGCAGTTTCTGGAAACTAGTACCTCCAAGGTACTAGTTTTTTGCTGCGCTTTTTCGGCAGGAAGCCTCAGTTGTGCCATGGAAGCACTACGCTTCCCAGATGTGCTGGTGAGATCGCGACCGGAAACTCCGCTTGTCTTCCGTATCTCTTGCGTGGCTAATGTTGCGTGTGACCGCAGCCATAATACATTTGTGACAGAGCATTCACACTTCAGTGCTAAACATTAAATGAAATGTGTCCCGCTAATTTAAATGGCTACATTTAATCAGTTCTGTAAGATTCAATTTTCTGTCAACAATTTAATTGTACTAGGTTTTACATGGTGTCATTTTCTGAAGCTGATAATATTTTATCGATAATCTTGTATACCACCCCAAAAGCCTTATAGCTGAGAGGCAGCATATAAATTTCTTAAAATAAATAAACCCACATATTCACATACAATAACTAACTATGGCTGGTCATCAGGGGAACAAGCATGAGAAATCATCAGGTTCACAGATTCCCCTTCCCTTCTCACAGAAATCAGATGCTTCTGCTTTTGTGTCATGGCAAGTCATCGTTTGTTTTTTCAACTGAATCACAAATGATTGTTTGTTCTCTGCCTTCAAAACCAGGAATAATCTATGGTTTGGATGGCAGAGAACAAACCATAGTTTTGAAACAAGCTATGGATTGTTGCAGAAGATTTTAACAGGAAAACAAATGCAAAGAGAATGTCTAAGCGGGAGCCTAAGGATTCCCCAGGCTCATTCCTGTAACCTGATGATTTCCCCTGCTTGTTCCCATGATGGGAAACTATGGTTTGCTGTTATATGTGAGGTATCCCTATGTAAATATACTTTGCATACTGTACTTTGCATGTAAGTAAACTTTGCATTTGAACTTCCAAAATGAATTACCTTCTGAAAGTAGCCTCTTTTTAATGTTTTGTCTTGGACTTGTCTGAAATACACATAGCCATAATAATATGCAGGATCCTTCTGTAAGGAAAACAAAAACTTCACAATTTTGAACAGCAAAACCACACAACACTTCAAACTTTAGACAGGGGCCCCAGTCACATGGCAAAGTTGCCACGGGAGAGGCACGGATGGTGGGCGGATTATCCGGGCGCGATCACACCCCAACATCTAGGAAGTGGAGCACACCCATGGCTTACCGCCAAAAATGCATGTTAAAAAAGTAGTACCTCCAAGGTACTAGTAAACGTTTGCCACGGGCTGCCTCCAGACTCCCATGGTGTGATAGCGCCGGCGCGCGGCATTCCCCTCTGGTCCCTTGTTTACCCATCGGCGCCGAGAGAAGGACCTGTGGTGTGCCGCTGGTGCGTCTGATCACGTAATCGTGGATCAAACTGCGCCGGGGCAATTAGCCACGCCTCCCCCCCGCGATATCCGGCCCGTGTGACCGGGGCCAGGGTATAAAATTTAAAGAATCATTGCTTCATCCTTGGGATGACATAATTATATATAAAAATCAAGAAATATTTAAAACCTCTCCAGGGTCAGATCTTCTGTACCCACACGTACAGGTGCCAAGGAAGTTGCTGGCAGTGGGGATGGCAGCAGCCCTCAGATCTGGCAGGCCTCTGGGGCCGGTAAAGGGGTGCCAGCAGCAGGCAGGCTGGGCAGGAGGTGGCCAATACTGACAGGAAGGAAGGTGGGGCTGAGGGAGAGATGGCCAAAGAAGACATGGCCAACACAGTCAGGTCTGTAGTGTGGCTCCCCAAGAAGACAGGGCTTGGCCAATGAGCTTGTAATGATTCTTTGTTTTATGAGAGTGTGTGTGCCTTTAAATGTTTGGTTGAAGTGTGGTGATAAGCAGACTAGAGTGATTGAGAGAGAGAGAAATGTGCTGTGATTGGTGGATGACAGTGTGGGGGGGAGTTTTTGAAAGGAATCTCTGTGTGTGTGTGTCAGTTAGTCAGTTATCAAAAGTTAGTTATGAAAGTCAGTTGGAATTGTTCAGTTGGTGTTCAGTCAGTGAGGGTTATTATAGTTCTGTGTGAGATCTCAAAGAGGGGAGTATATATGTCCTTAGCCTGAGTGGCTGATTCTAAAGAAAAGAGTGAATCCTGTTAATGTTGGAACTGAGTGTCAAACAAAGAAAAGTAAAGGAAAAAAGGCTCTGTGTGTGATACATTTGAACAACATATTTACAAGTCCCTTTATCCTAAACAGTTCCAGAATAACCAACCTCATATTTTGTTCTTAGTTCAATAAATCATCTTTTGTTTAAGTTATCCCAGAACTGGATTCAATCCTTCCTCAGGAGCACATAGATCCCTGAAAAGCCTAGACCCTGGGTTACTTTACCAGAAAGCGGAACAGAGAGAAGGTTTGGAAATCCTTAAATTCCTGGTGGCAGCCGAATCTACCCAGTTTAAGAAAGAAAGAGCACATTTAAAGGGGAAATCAGTCCTCCCAAATAAGTGGATGCCACAGAGCTGCTCCCACAGAGCAGGCTGCAGGAGAGGCCAACTTCAGCCCCTCATAGGACCCGGCCAGGATGGGGAGGTGGTGCAGCAGGAGAACCCATGAACAGTGGGCCCTGTCACTCCCCAAAGCCCTAACTCAGACACATGGGGATTGCAGGAACTCAGGACTGCCCTGCCCCCAGGCAGTCGTTTTATAGGCCAGCTTAGGGAGGGCCAGGGAGGAAGAGTCAGCTTGGGAAAAGGTGTAAGGCAGGGGTCTGGGGGAGACAGAATTCCTCTTCTCTCTATGAATTGAGGTCTGACCAAAGCCTGGCTCAGAAAGGAAGTCAGAGGGAACACTGGCGCTGGACTCTACCCCATCAGAGAAGAAGTTTAACAAACCAAACTCCCAAAGTATAACATTTAATTAAGACTTTAATCATTTGAACATTTTACAATTTTGCTAGTCACATTACGGGCTACAGTGCAGCAACTGGTAAGCTACACCCTCTGAAGAGCTAGTTTTAGAATTTTTAACTATGAAGACATAAGAACATTAATAATTACTTGCTTAAAGGAAACATAAGCATACTGGAAGAAAAATACTGTCATGTATTTAAATGAGAGAAGACAAGCCTCTTTTGCAACCTTTAAATAGATGGGAAGGTCTCTGTCAAACTGGTCCAGAAGACAATGCCATGACAGCTTTCTGCTAGAAGACTGCCGGAATCTAAAACAAAACTGTGTGTCTCCAAGGCAACCTAAGCCAAAAGGAAAAGAACAAAATAGTTATATTGATTTTCAAATACGTCTAATGAAAATCTGTAAGGAACATCTTGTAAGCAAGCAGTAGTCTGACTGCTTATAGTGAGTAAAACATGCATCTAGAAGACCAAATACAGCCCCACCACTTCTGTGTTTGTGGCTGAGGGCTCCATCGGGGGAAAGACATGTATGCTATATGGCTGGTTCTTCTATGCTTTGTTTTCTGCCAGAAGATGAGACAGAACACCCATTCTAGAGCAGCCACAGCATGCTGTTTTGTTTTCCTTCCAGATGAACATGGCAACACACTACGGCTGCTGAAAATGCAATCCTTTCCTCTCTCTGTGCACAAAGTGCAGGAGCACAATACATACAGAGAAAGTGAATGTATGTGCATGGGACACAGAATAATTCAGCCTTATCTCAGTTTCTTCCATGTCCTCTGCTTTAAAGGTTAAAGCAAAATGGGAACAAGCAGCTGGTATCAGGGAATGGCAGAAGCAGGACAGCTGCTAATCCTGGCTTAAAAGTGAGCCATTAGAGTAGCTGCCTTAGTTCTGCTTTTCAACACAATGCTAATAACACCATAGCTGACTCTCCCATCTCCCTACTTACCTTCGGGTTTCAGAGAAGGATGCACAAGAGCTACCACAATTAGTACTGTCTGTTAAATAGCAACTGCAATCTGTGTAACAAAAGCTTTCACACAAGTGATTTGCAGGTATCATCATCTTTAATTTGTTGAGTGCCAGCTCAAATAGAGTGAGGGTGAGGGCAAACAGCTGTGGTTATTTCCTCAGAACAAGAGTCAGAAAACGTCAGACTTGTGTCTGACAAACCTCATTCTAGTGTTCACTAGCTATGAAAAACAGAAAAGCAGGCAGAACAATGTTTAAGCTTTTTACAAATGGCAATATGAAAAACCTGTCTTCTTCCGCTGTGCCTTGCCATTGGTGCAATTGAAAAAGCATCCCTTTCCCACCTTTTCCATTATTCTTCAGAAGAAAAGCAAGGAGTATTATGTTTTCACCGAGTTTAATCAAATGTAACAGCAATGCTTAAACAGTAAGCCTCTAGCGCTTTTACTTACAATGGTATAAGGGAGAGCATGGATGAGAACTAAACACTGATGCGACCCTTCCTGCCTTCCCTCTCATGTTCTGCCTAAGTTCACAAAATCAGCATTGCTGTCAAATGGCCATCTAGCTTCTGTTTAAAACCTCTGAAGAAGGAGAGCACCCCACCTCCCAAGGAAGCCTGTTCCACTGAGGAAGTGCTCGGTCAGGAAGTTCTTCCTAATGTTTAACTGAAAACTCTTTTGATTTAATTTCAACTTGTTGGTTCTGGTCCGACCTTCTGGGACAACCTGCTCTATGCTTGAGGTATTCTGCCAAAAGAGTGCAAAGGCACTGAGAAATACAAACTATTTAAAACGTGTTTGACTTCCTGTATTTAGGTCTGTATAGCTCTGGGTCTCCCATCTCATCCTAAATTGCTGGCTATAGCCAACATGTTCCTAAACTGAGCATGTGTGCCTACTAGAACCAAGAGATCATCAGTTACAATGACCAAAATCTGAAAACAGCAGGTCCCAAAACTTTTTGGCAAAAGTGCCACAATTCATGTCTACTGTATTTGATAGGGCCACTCCATGGCACAATGGAATATGAATTTAGCTTCCTACCCCTTTGATCTAATGGTCCAGGAAGCTGAACAGCATAAGACAGGCAGGCTGGTGTGCGGGCCTAATTAGCTTTTAAAGCTAAAGCAGTGCAAAAATATCCCCACTAAAGTTATTTGTGGCATCAGAGACACAGGTTGACCATCATATGTCCTTTGACAGCTACACTAGCTATATGCATACTCCCTACCATAAAAAGGGAAAACAAAAAGGCAAAGCAGTGAAGGTATATCTGGAGACCATACAGGGAAAATATTGATTCTGAATGACGCTGTAAATATTGCTAAGGCTGGTAGCAATGATTTGTAGATATACAGTATCAAGAAAGGAAATACATTCCTGACAAGCTGGAAATCCGCTACCAAAATGGGAGTGGTAGCCAAACTGCTGATGATAAACATGGGCCGCATTCAGACCGGCAGGCAAACGTTTGAGGAGCGTTTCAGTAGCGGATTAAAGGGGTGGGTTCACACAGGCACATGTTTCAGGCATCCCCCAGCCATACTCAAGCCATCTTGTGCCGCTTCCCTCCCGAGTTTAAAAATTACCATGTTAAAGTGGTAGCAAACCGTGTATACAGCACGTTGATTCCGGTTCCCTGAGTGTGAACGCGAGCATTGCTAAGGCGGGAACAACCCGCAGTTGATAATAGGTGCCAGCTTGTTCCGCGGCAGGTGCATGTGAGCATGTGCGCATATGCGCATGACCGGAATGCTCTGGCGTGCCGAGTGGAACTGTGGAGTCGATCCTACCCTATTTGCTGATGTGCCCATGTGCATAGGCGCACGCAGCCGCGTACGGAAACCATCATACAGAATGCAGCTAATGGACATGTAGTTTTACTACTTGTGATTGTGGCTTTGAAATTACTGTCTAGAAAGCACCATTCTGCATTGCTGTCAGTAATGATAATAAAGTTAAGCAGTTTAAAGTTAAGCACTTTGATGCATGCAGTTTAAGCCCATGCTTAACTATTTCATTGACGTTGATGGGACTGAAGTGTTTAGCTCTGGCCAGATTGTGCCCAATATATTGATTTCTTTGCCAGTTTTAAAGTGCTTTCCAGCTATGGATCTCTTGATAGATACAATACAATATATCTTCAGCCCCTGATCACTCTTGAAAACTTAATACATATGTTATATACAATATATCTTCATACATTCAATATATCTTCAACCCTTGATCACTCTTAAAAACTTAATGAGCAAGAAACCCTGAAAGCCTCATTTAAATAAGAATGTTGTACATTATTTGCATCACAGCATTTCCACAAAACAGCATCATCCCAATGTTACTTTGTGAATTTCTGCAATATTTTCAACATTTCTTGAATGTCATCAAGGTTGTTTTTGGGCAACTGCAAATTCTCCGTATCACCTATAGTCTAAACAGGTGGTTTATCACAAGCAGTGAATGCATTACCTTCTGATTAGAGTATTTTATGCAGGTCAGAAAAAATACCGTCCAGAACAATACATTCTGTACAAGTCTTTGGGGAGTGGTTTTGCTGAGAATGTAATGGCCATGGCTGAGTTCAGACTGGCAATTTGAAGCGCTAGGGAGTCGTGGCAAAGAAAAACCGGAATAGACCTGGAACGGCTTATTCCCGGTATTCCCGTTCACACTGCAGTGAATGAGGCGGGAGGATACCGTGGAGGAAGCGCAAGGGAGTGTTCGCACTGTCGACCGCCCCTGGCGAGCTGTTAGCGTGGTTTCCGTACTCGGCTGCGTGCGCCTATGCACATGGGCACATCAGCAAATAGGGCAGGATCGACTCCACAGTTCCACTCGGCACGCCGGAGCATGGACAGGGCTGCTGGAACCAATCAGGGACCATGTGGCAGCACCTGTTGCTTTATGAAAAGAATACCATCTCAGTGGTGTTGTAGGGGATGCTAGGCAATCACAACCTTCAAGGTTGGTTTCTGTCAGTAAAAACAGGGGAGGGGGAAGGGCCCTTTCCAGGGCTGTTTCAGCATTTGAGGAAAGACCAGGACTGGCAGCAACCACTGGATGACTTGATTCCAAGTGACTTTCATGAATCATTCAGGACTGGTTGCTTGTGGCACCCCACAAAAACCAGTGTGGAGTAGTGGTTAGACTTTCAGACTAGGATCTGGAAGACCCAGGATTGAATCCGCACTTGGCCATGAAAGCTTGCTGGGTGACCATGGGCCAGTAATGACCCTCAATGCTGTGACAATAAAATGGAGGACAGGAGAACAATGTGAGTTGCATTGGGTTCCAATTGGTGAGACAGGCAGGGTATAAATGAAGTAAATAAATAAATAACTGAAGACAGGCAGATAAAAGGTAGGTTGGTTGGGGAGTGGGAAGGACAGAAGGAAGCAGGGAAAGAAGTAGAAGTGTAGGAAGAGGGATACAAGGGAAAGTGAGGTGTTCCCCACAAAGTCCTTGCAGGTTCCCCACCTTGTAAATGGGTCCAGCCCAACTACCGTAGTTTTCCAGACTGGGGGATGGAAGTAGGTAATCTGAAAACAGGGGCAGACATAGGTTGGTTGGCTGGTGCATGGGAAGGAGAGAAGGAAGCAGGAAAATGGGAGATGCTATTGGAGTTTTCAGTGAAGGGAGACAAGAAACAGTGGTGAAGGGCAAAATGAGATGTGTCTTCGTGGGTCCCTCATTTGTATTTGTATTCTGCAATTTGCAGACATCACAAGAGTTTAAGAATAACTTTGTAACATGCTTTTCTTTGCACTTTCATAAGTAAAAGAGCTAGAAACTTTGTTTTTTACAGAGGGGGCTAAACATTCAAGGAAGAGGCTTGGAATATTTGTGAGAGCACCTGAGACTCACAGGTGCTCCATAAACTACATTCCTGGGAATGGCTATTTTAAAATTTGAAGGAAGGTGCAGAAATACTTTTACATTCCACCATGCTCAAGGAAGATGCTCTACCAAATCCCACCCACCAGGCAATTGTTATTTTTAGCTAAGAAATTGCCCTTCACACTGCACAGAATTTCCTTTCTACTATAGGTTAAACTGAACAATACAAATTTCATGTGAGTGAAACGTGACTGGAAAATTAAAGGCATAGTCTATGTATCTTAGCTTAATTCTGCAAACCCTGTAAATCTTCAATATTGTTTCAGAAGGGTTTTGAGTTCCACAGGTAAGGATAAACAACAAAAATACAAAATCTATCACATCTTACTTTTTATTTAATAAAATTTAAAATACTGTTGTTAAAGTACTATCTTAAATAGAAGTGTATTGTTTATATATGAACTCAGCACGAGGAAATAATTACCTGAGTTGGAATCTGGGAAAGACAAGTAGCAAATATTGGTTTTCTAAGGGGAGAAAAGAGAAATTACATTTTAGTGGGAAATGGACACTTTTTAGAGAGAGGTTATTTAAAAAGGCATTTATAAATGTCTACTCACCTCTTTATCTGAGAGTTTTGCATGTTGAGGGTATACTACCTGCACAGGATAAAATTGCCAATGGTTAGCAAAAAAGATAAATCAATTGTGCAAAGCAATCTGCAAGCATATCACGCAGTGCAAGAGGTATGTCCATAGTGCTCTTACACAACAGGGGGAGTGCACATTTTTAGTCAGTAACCCAAATCCAGAAAAGATTGGGTTTGTGAGATTTGCTTGCATGCAATAGTGCTTTTTTCCTTGATCCACAACCTCACATTCACATTGCAAGCAGCTTTCTGAACAGAGTCCAAAATACAATATAGTGCAGAGAGGCAGAAGCAAGGTGGTGGGATTAACAGGAACAAGCTCCATAGATCACTCTGCAAACGTATGACTTGCACAACACCATTTATTAATTCAAAGATTGATTAATCATAATATGTTGCCTTCACACACTGTATATTGCTCGAAGAAACATAAGGAACACTGGAAAACTCTAAAGCTATATCAGTTTACATCTTGTTATTTACTTTGAACTGATGATAGTATGGTTCAGTTTGGACAATCCTCTAGACCATGATTTGGAGGACTGGGAATGGCCTGCATGATCCCTCCTTTCCCATGCCAATTTCTTCCTCCAGTTACAGGTTGCTCCAACCACAGTCTGCCACCCTATCAAAATCAGGCAACAGTTATGCTCTCCTCCAAACTATGCTTTCCAACTATGCAAAACATTGCTTCAAGCTATAATTTGGAGTTAAGCACTAACAATCATTGATGTGATGTTGGTTTTGAAGAAATGTATGATTGCAGTTACCAGCAGTGGTGAAAGAAATCAGCACACAAGATGGGAAGAACTGACCTCCATGCTATTCAACATCTGGATCAAACCGCTGGGAGAGATCATCCAGGAATGTGGAGTCAATTCATTCAGATGATACCCAGCTCCATTTGTCATTAACAGCTGATTGCATGTGTCTGTGGATGTCCTGAATAAATGTATGGAGAAGTAATGGGATGGATAATAAACTAAAACTGAATCCAAACAAGACTGAAATGTTATCGGCCAGTGGCAAAGCTGCTTGAAGACTGAACAGTGTGTCCTGGAAGGGACTGTGTTCTCCCTGAATAAGCAGGTTTGCATTAGCTGGGGCTGAATTCCATGTAGGAATCATATCACCCTTGTCCAGAAAGATCTACACTGGCTGCCTGTTCATTTCTGAGAACAATTCTAAATGCTGCTTCTTTCCCACTCTCACCAAAATGACTTGGGGCTGGGTACCTTAAGGACCACCTCCTGCTATACTGTTCAGCCCATCAATTTAGATCTTCTTCCCAAGCCCTGCTCTCAAAGACCTCATCTCAAGAGATGAGGTGGGTGGCAACCAGAGACTAAAACACTGGCACCTATTTGAAGGTTTCTTCTCTTCAGTGGGGCAAGGTTGGGGCAAAGAAGTCATCCAGATTGGTTAGGTCATGCCTCCTCTAGCTCCAGGCAGGGCTATACAAATTTTCTTGCAAGTCTCTCCTGGTTGGATCAGCTGAACTTCCAGTCTTAGTATAACCCATCTCTGAATATTTTCATCATGTTCAATGTCTTTTCTCTTTTTTGTTTTGTTTTTGGGCGGGAAGTGGATGACTTCGCCCCATTGAAGATAAGAAACCTTCAAGTAGGTTCCAACTTCATTCTCCTTCAGTGGGGGAAGTCATCCAGACTGGGTATATTATAAGCCCAAGCTGTCATCCAGGTTGGGATCATGCTTCTTCCTTCCTGCTCCACCACCTGTTGCAACACCATTCTGCTGAAGGACGCCTCTGCGGAGTCCATTTTGTCAATTCTGTGATGTTTAACAAAGGTGGAAAATATCGACCACATGGCAGCTCTGCAAATCTCTTCCACTGGGACCCTCACAGAAAATGCCGCTGAAGAGGCTGCTGCTCTGGTGGACTGAACTGTGATGCCCTTAGGAACCGATAGGCCTTGAGCTTCATATGCCCTACTCATGCATGTTCTGACCCAAAAGGCAATAATTGACTTTGATACTCTTTTCCCAGCGATGGGCTGCTGTGGGATACAAACAAGGCATCCAAAAGTCCAAAATTCTTTATTTTGTCCAGATATATATGCACAACTCTGCACACATCTAATTTGTGCCAAGCTTTCTCCTTACGGCGCTTCAGCTTTGAGAGAGGGAGAGCTTTGGACAGAAGGGCGGTAACACCAACTCAGGCTTCCCAAGTACTTACCGTGATTCGGCGAGGGACACAAACGTCTTCGCAGGATCATTCCCGTGGGGACAACAAATGCGCCGCATCATGCCGTCGCCAGGAAGTGACGCCGGGCAACGCTCTGGCAATGGGGCTGGAAACTCGATGGTACCATCGAGTTTTCAGCCCCATTGCCAGAGCGTCACCCAGTGTCACTTCCTGGCGACGGCATGGTGCATTACAGGGAGGAATGGTCCAGCCGGGGAGCATGTTTCCCCCGCCAGATCACGGTAAGTACTTGGGAACCCTACACCAGCTGTTGGTTGACATGGTACAAAGAGATCATCTTCGGTATAAAAGAAGGGTCCATCCTTAAAATCACTGAGTGTTTGTGAAAGACACACAGCTCTTTTCTCACTGACAAGGCCGCCAACTCTGACACCTTTCTTGCTGAAGTGACAGCAACTAGAAAGGCAACTTTCCAGGATAAGAATCTTAATTATATGGTCTTTAAAGGCTCAATTGGTACCTTTGTAAGTGGTTGTAAGACCTTAGAGATGTTCCATCTTTTTCTTTGTTGCAGCCACGACTGTCCTCCTTGTCCACAAAGAGCCTGAAGACGTTTTCTCTTCCAAGTTAAGGTTGAGGGGGGGCTGGGTTTAGAAGATGAGCTTGGCTGGAGCTTCCTACAGAAGCTACAGAGCTATACACACTGGAGGTGCAGCCAATCCAACCAAGAAAGACTTGCAAGAAAATATGCATAGCCCTGCCTGGAGCTAGAGAAGGTGTGATCTAACCAATCTGTGGAGAAAGAACTTTTTCAATAGTGGGACATCATTTTTGGAATGATTTGAGGTTTACCTGGTGCCTGTTTTACTGTCTTTGAAGGCAGGCCAGAACTGTTCTTTTTACCTGGGTTTTTAACTAAAAGGGTTCCATCTTTTTATTGCTGTTTTTATAGCCAGCTGCTAACCTGAGGGCTGTTTTAGAAATACTATTTTATGCTGCTAAATATAGGTTTTATGCTGTTTGTATACCCCTAGTAGATTTTCCTTCTTTTATTGCTGGTTTTAATGTGGATAACTTTTATTATTTCATTGTACTGTTATTACCTTACAATTCAACTCAAGCAGGTCTTTAGATAAGAGGTATTTTTATTATTAGTTAGAGAATGTATAAGAACAGAGGAGTGAGTATGAGAGCCTATGGCACATTTCCAGTCACCCAAACACTAACTTGGAGGATTACCCAAACTGAGCCAAAGAGGTTCTAGTACATTCTAAGGTTATAGTTTATCAACAAAATAAAACTAGTTTTAAACTTTTTTACAGACGTGGTGTTAATTATTTAGCATCTATTATCCTCTCTAGATGTTCAAGATAATGGACCAGATGTTTATTCCAGAGGAATAAAATGCTGTTTTAAGCATCAACTGTTTAAAACAAATTAAAATGATAATCAGAACTACTATACATACTAATATGGGCAAAGACACTTTGGGGTAAACAGGCAAAAAACTGTCTGCAGTCCGATTGCAGATGCATATATTTGTGATTCCCTGTGATTTATTTATGTAAAACATTTATTAGCTGTCTTTCTACCTTAGAGAACCCAAGGTAGTTGACAATGTAACAAAAAATAACCATAAAATACATAAAAACCACAATTTAAAAATCAAAATCTAAGACAGACAATAAATAGAAAAACTAAATTAATCAAATGCCGTCCTAAATAAATCTGTATCTAAGGTCTGCCACTGTGGTTCTTGTTATTTATGTAGTGCACAGGTATCCTGCAATTCCTTCAAGGAGCTCAAGAGTAGCAGTTATCCTATTTTATCTCCACAATAAGGTATAAAGGTAGGTTATGTTAAGATCTAACAATTACTTAAATAAATAATAATAGTACTGTGAGCCTGCCACAGGGCCATCTTCACATTTAAGGCTGAGCAGAAATTTTAACCCTGCATTAAAATGTGACACTTGAGCCACCACATCATACTGGCTGTCTTGAGAAGAGGTAAACAACTGATCCTATTTGAGAGTCTAAGACAAAACATATACACACACATCTAGAATTCATCAACTGTTGCTCTGAGAAAAAACATGTATTTCCTTCCCTATAGGAGCTTATAGTAAAAAGTCTGTTGCATGGACATATTCAGTCCTCTGGACTTCAGTCCATGGTCACAAGACACTTTACTCTCATTAATCACTGCTTTATCATATTTAGTACAGTTACAACTGAATTACATCTAGCAATAACTTTTAACAGCCCTGAAATACTGTATATAGTTTCTTTTACTAGGCATTTTCTCCCCAGAGTTAAATGCTTGGGCTAATTGTAATGAATTAAGTACATCTTGCATGGCCTGGAATTCTAGGAATTTTGCATGCAGAAAGAAAATCAATGTGCAGTGCTAACAACACAGCAGTATTATAACTCAGAAAGCTCTGTATACTAGCATGACAGACCAAGTCACAAAGACTGTATGTTCCACAAATGTCCATATGTAATCCAGAGTAATTGAGGCCAGAAAAATCTGAAGACCTAGACACATATTGATAGAGGGACTGACATACATTGGATATACACTTAACAGTGCCATCTTAAGCAGAGTTTCATTTTTCTATTTAAGTCCACCAAAATCAGGGCCTTAGAAGGGTCTAATTCTATTTAGGGTTGCACTGAAACTCCCTTAAAAATTATGTGCAGACAAGACTTCCCCTTGGTCTCTGCTTATTGATAAACATTGATTATTTTAGATTGGCACCAGTGTTCCCTCTAAACTGAGTTAGTGTGAGGTAGCTCACAATTTTTTAGCCTCCAGCTCACACATTTCTGCCTCAGCTAAGGAAGGATGGCTCCAGAGCAAACTGATTTGTGCAGTAGCCAAATGGCTCACTCACAACTTTAATGCCAATAGCTCACAAAGCAGAATTTTTGCTCACAAGACTCCACAGCTTAGAGGGAGCATTGATTGGCACAACTAAACTTAGATTTAGACAGGGGAAACCCAAAGTTTAAGCCTTGCTCTGTCCCGATTCACACTTTGCTTATTTTGTCCTTCCTCCAACACAAGAGAACCCTAACCAATTGCTGGCTACTCTTCAGTGCAAGTCTGCTGCCTGCCCTGTTCTGAGGGCATGCATTTTCCCTTCACATTTTTAATGCTTACTGCAGTAATCATTACTCAAATGCTGGTGACTCCAAGATGCTGTACAAATTGTGGGATGGACCTCAATACTGAATCTCACACGGCCTTGGACATATCAGTTTAAACTACCTCACAGGAATACTGTAGAATCAGATAATTCTATGTAAATCCTTCCTCAGAGGAAGAATGAGAAAAGGGGTAAATGATAAAAGAAATATTATGCATCTTGAAATAGTTTACTTATCACCTCTAACATTATGTAAAATATAAGAAAAATAAACTGTGGATAAAAAGATGAGGTGTGGATGGAACTGATACATGTCGTTGAATAAAATCATCTTATAACTAGTAACAGTAGTCTTCCTTTACTATGAAGTGCCTTCTGTTGTCACTAACCCCCTTCCGTTTTCAAAACAGCAAAGCTTTTAAGTAGCAACAGAGCCGCCTTGAAAAACTGGAGAAAGCGTCAATAAGACTTCGCTAAGTGTGTAAGATTCTCTGCTTCTGTTTACATGCGGAGAGAGGAGAGTCCAAATCTCTTCATCCTCGGAAAACAGAAATGTCAGCAAAGGCAGTACGACGGAGCACAAAGGAGAACAACGCAGCATCTACCGAGGAACAGATGTCTCGGCCACTCAACTCCAACACAAACAGGGCAGAAGCCGGGAAAGGTCTTTGTTCCTCCTTCGGGACGACACCCCCAAGACCTTGCCTGCCCCCAAGCTCAGCCCTCCCTCCCGCCAAGGAAACAGGATGTGCTCGGCTGAATCCCGCCATCTCCGTGCAAGAGCCGGAGGACACCCGACCTGGCTCAAGAGGCCGCTGGCTTGTCCCACCGCTCACCTCCACGGCTTGCCCAAGCTCCAGGTCGAAGCCCACCACACAAACGCAGTGCAACCAGGCCGAAAAGCGGTCCCATGGCAGCAGTGACAAGCAGCGACCCGGCACACGTTCCTCGGGCGCCTCCGGGGAACCCGCCAGCTTCGCGCTTCCGCCTACACCGTCGATTTCGTCCCGCTTCCGCAGGGACATGGCGGTAGCAGTGCACCTCCCTCCCCCCCACCCCCGGCCAAATTCCTCTTGCCCTCTGCTTGAGTTGCTCGGGAGCCGGTTCTCTCACTAACCCGAAAGGAAGGAAAACCTCATGACGCACGTCTCTGGGGCCGCGACTGCCGCTTCCCGCCCCCCTCCTTTCGATATGGGAGAATCCAAAGCAGCCCTAGAGGAGGGAGATGGGAGAATCCAAATGGGCAATGTAGAGGGTGGGGCGGGGAGAAACATAACACTGAGGAAAAGAAACGTCCCGCAGCTGCCTGAGGAAAAAGCATGTTTGTGTGTATACGCACACAGGCAGCGTGAGTGTATATATGTTTATGTATGTATACAGACACACGTGAGTTATCTATTTCATATCCAGATAGTGAGCTAAGCGTTTCCTCATGTACATACGCACGTACTAAGGCGGAGGCACAGAGTTCTTTAACAAATCAAGAACCGTTAGTGCTTGTTCAGAAAAGGCCTTGGTTCTGACCTGCGCTGGGCCATGCTTCTTTCTCTGGTTCTGACCTGCGCTGGCCCATGCTTTTTTCTCTGCTGAATTCTGATACTTCTCATAGAGGCAAACAATTTTCTCTATTTTTGCTGTTGCTGTTGTTTTATTTATTTATTTGATTTGATTTATACCCCGCCCTCCCCGCAATGTGGGCTCAGTCGCACAGTTGACTCCGACTCTTCGTGACCCCATGGACCACGTGATGCCAGGCCCTGCTGTCTTCCGTCCTGCTCCGGAGTTTGCTTAATTTCATGTTCGTTGCATTGATAACACTGTCTAACCATCTCATCCTTTGCCGTCCCCGTCTTCTTTGGCCTTCAATCTTTCCCAGCATCAGGGTCTTCTCCAGTGAGTGCTCCCTTCTCATTTGGTGGCCAAAGTATTTGAGCGTCAGCTTCAATATCTGGCTTTCCAGGGAACAGTCAGGGTTGATTTCTTTTAGGATTGACTGATTTGACCTCCTTGCAGTCCAAGGGGCTCTCAAGAGTCTTCTCCAGCACCATATTTCAAAAGAATCTATTATTTGGCGCTAGGCCTTCCTTATAGTCCAACTCTCACAGCCATACATGACTACTGGGAATACCATTGCTTTGACCATGCGGACTTTTGTTGGCAGGGTGATGTCTCTACTTTTTATTATGCTGTCTAGGTTTGCCATCGCTTTCCTTCCAAGGAGCAGGCGTCTTTTAATTTCATGGCTGCAGTCACCGTCTGCAGTGATCTTGGATCCCAGGAACGTGAAGTCTATTAATTAAAATTCTCTATTTTAATTAATCCCAAATAACTACTATCCGTTTGTTTTGTAGTTCCAATCTCTAATATTAGTCAGATTTTTATAGGGTTGTCATCTCTGAGTTGAGAAACTCTTGTAGATTTTGGGGGTGGAGCCTGGGGAGGATGGGGTTTGGGGTGGGCATGTATCTCAGATGTGTATAAAGCCATAGAGTCTACTCTCCAAAGCAGCTGTTTTCTCCAGGGAACTGATCTCTGCCCTTAGGAGATCAGCTACATATCCAGGAGATCTTCAGGCTGCACCTGGAGGTTGGCAACCATCCACTTTTTGGCCAGGCTCAGCCTTCCAAGTGCCTTACAATAAAATATCAAAGGCAAAACATTTTTTAAAGCATCAACAATCAACATATTAAACTACTCATAACGGAGCTATTATAAAAGCAGAATAAAGAAGCAAGTCAGCAACAATAGTCAGTATTTAAGAATTCAAATGTCCTCTAAAACAGTATTGTTTTGAGCAACCTCTTGAACAAGGGAAGAAGCAAGTTGAGCCTCATACCAAAGTAAAAATCACAACCTTGGGGCCACCACCAGGGCGGCCCTGTCTCATGTAACTACTTCCTATCAGTTGTGGAACACAGGGTAGTGCTTCCCTAGATGAACAAAGTGTATGGGTAAGGCTAACGGGGAAAAGCTAGTCTTAAAATAATCTGGTCTCAATTTATTTTAACACATTAAAGGTCAAAACTAGCACCTTGAATCAGTGAGAACTGGGCCCTTTTTGCACCTCTGCTGCTGTTTGTTCCTTTGCATAAATGAAAAGGACAGATGTACAGAAATGAGCAGCTGAGATGCATGAAAGGGACAATTCTAGCTGAACCTCTGTGGCTATTTACACTGGCTTTAAAGAACCACTTTGGCTTCTGTAAGTGAGTCTGTGGATGGAGCTAATGTGCTATTGCTTCATTCCTTGTTCAGTTCAAGATCCCTCTTAAAAATTAGTTACAAATTAGAGCTGTATATGTTCACTCAGATGTAAGTATTTATTTCAGTTGGACTTACTCCTCAGTAAGTTTATGCACCTGTAGTCTTAGGGTTGCCAGGTGCCCCCTGGCCACTGACAAGGAATGGTGGGGGTAGGGTTGCCAGATCCAGGGACCTCAGTGGAGTACAAATTGTACAATGCCATAGAGTCCATCTTCCAAAGCATCCATTTTCTCCTGGGGAACTGATCTCTGTAGCTGTAATTCTGGGGGATCCCCAGATCCCACCCAGAGGCTGGCATCCCCAGTTGCCAGCCTTCAGGTAGAGCCTGGAGATCTTCCAGAATTACAAGTGACCTTCAGATGACAGATCAGTTCCCCTGGAGAAATATGACTGATTTGTGTGATGGACTCTATGGAATTATACCCTGCTGAGCTCCCTCCCCTCCCCAAACCCTGGCTTCATCCCCCAGATTGCCAGGACTTTACCAACAGGAAGTTAGCAACCCTAACTAGTCTGGAGCTGAGGTCAGGTGAGAATTCTATAATGTTCACATTTGGCCTTAATCAAACACAACACCAAACAGTTTCTTCTGCACAGATTCTTCAAAACAATTTTAAACTTCATATTATTCTAAACTATACAAATTTTATAATCCCATGACACAACATACAGGCCTTGGCATCTGTGCCCTGTTGTTGGCCCTCCAGAGTGACTGGTTGGCCACTGTGTAAGGCATGATGCTGGACTAGATGGACCACTGCTCTGATCCAGCAGGGCTCTTGGTTGTGTCCATTTATAGCCTCCAACAATTAGCTGTATGAATTCTGCAAAAACAAAAACAACAGCTGAATTGAAAAAATACTGTGGTCAAGAGCCTTGGGAATGTAGGATTATCTTTGTATTTTCATGTCATAAACACAGTTGTATGAATCAAGAAACACACATAAAGGAAATTGCTTGCATGCCATGTGATTCCCTGCAGCTACATCTATTCTCTCTTTACATCTGCCTCATATTGGCTTATTTTTCTTGCTGGATTAAGGAACAGCCAGCTTAAAGCATTCACTACGTATTAGTTGCAGTCTAACCTTAATTAGCTAGATTAACATTAATTAGATGTTGTATATATTCAGCTTTCATTATAAGTGCCTTCAAGCACACTAAAATTGCAATCCTATGCAGAGTTACTCCAGTTTAAACCCATTGCTTTCAACATACTTAGACTGGAGAAACTTTGCATAGGCTATACTGTCAGATACCTTTTCTCCTTTATGATCAGGAGTCTAAATTAACATAATATATTCTACAGGCATTTTCACAAATGTTGATAAAAATCCTTTTGGTCTGGAATGTATCCCTTTTTATCCTGTTACTGCAGGACATAAAGACAAAAAGAAAACCATGTACCAAATGTATATGTCCAGGGTCGGCACCCTCTGCACTTACCTCAGGAGGCCAGGGATTCCCAGGAGAAGCAGCTCCATTGACAGGCCCTGTGGCGAAACGGGGACCCGCCCTCAGCCCTGAGAGACTGAGCAGCCCCTATTTTCGCCTGCCCAGCCTGCCTGGTGGGACTATTTCCTTTCCACAGTCGCTGCCACCAGTCACTGAATTTACACTGCCTTCCTAGAGGGACAGACCCCTCTGGTTGATTCCCCAAGCCAAGGAAATGAATACCTTAATCTTTGGGTACTCCCTAGAGAGTTGGCAACCCCTCCGATTTGGGCCTGTTTGGCTTCCCTGGTCTTCCTTTGCCATGAGTAACATGCTGAGCGGGGAAGACTCTGTGGGTCAAAGCACTACCAGGTTTTATAATTCAAAAAGAAGGTTTAATTAAATTATATACAAGGTTAGGCACAGACGTAAAACAAGCACTTCAACGCAACCGGGCAGAAAATAAACAGGATCAAACCACAATTCCTCTGTCCCTACACACACCCTGATCCCTGACCTAACTACCTCTGTAGTGGGTGGCTGCAGGACAGGATTCCGTCTCCCCCTCTTTGTCATTGGAATGAAACTTCAGCCCCTCCCTCAGGACTGGTCACCAATACTGCTACCCCCCTGGCTCTCTACCACGATTTATAGTGGCCAGGGTGGCCCACAGAGTGTGAGGTAGCAGGAGTCCCACCTATGTGCAGTCCCTCAAAGCTGTAGTCCAAGGCTAAGATGAAGGCTGAGATCAGCCCCTCCCTGGATGGGCAGAAGCCTTTATCTGCATGGCTCTGCCCCTGGGGAGGGTCCCTACTTTCCTTCACTTTTTCTTCAAAGCTGCTGGGAAATGAAGGCAGGGAGGTAGGCCCTCCCTGGATGGGCAGAAGCCTTTATCTGCAAGGCTCTGCCCCCGGGGAGGGTCCCTATTTTCCTTCACTTTTTCTTCAAAGCTGCTGGGAAATGTAGGCAGGGAGGTATGGCAGCCCCATTGTCCCCTATGGAGCCCCTCCCCCCTCCAGAAGGACTACCAGATTGGCAGCCATTTTAAGAGAAACTGCTACCTCTGCCTGGCAGCCATTTTGTTACAGGCCCCAACATGTAGGAGCAGCCAAGCCGATCACCACAAGCCATACCAGGGTGAGGGCCCCACTGGATATGAGAGGACAGCTAAAGTTGCCCAGTGGCCCTGGTCCCAGTGGTCCTACATCCAGTGGTCCTACAGCATGACCAGAGGGGCCCAGGTGGCATTGCAAGGCCTCCCCAAGGACCAAGCCGCCAATTATAATATGCTCAAGGCAGCAATACTAGATCAGTATGAAATCACCGA